ACACAAAGCATTCACTTCACACTCCAGTCCCTTCAATGTCACGGTTGGATTATAAAGTAAAAGTTTACGCCAATTGCAAGAATTGTATTCTTGGAACTAAAATAGACAAATTGAAAATGAGAATATGCTGAAAACGACACTGTATGTGCTTCAGCTCATTAAACTGGTTAGTGTCTGGAGTCACCTGGTACAGTCGTTTCATTAAGCATTAAAAAACGTTTTTAATCTTTATGTTTTAATTCTAAAAGAGTCACCAGCAGCCCATCAGCTCTGTGCTGCTTTAGCTAATGAGAAAGTATTGGCTTGAGCAGCAATGGGCAGCTGTGATTGGCTGACCGTGTAACTTGACTGCTTTTAGCCTATCAGAGCTTCACCTGGCTCTAGTATGAATGGGTATGACAACAAGGAAGTGTGTAATCTCTGCCTTAGCCACACCTTCAGAATGGCTTCTATTTTTCTGCGCAAAAATATATAATTTTTTTTATTTTGTTGTATACCAAATCTTGATATTCTTTACAATATTTAAAACCAGTTGTTTATCGTTTCATTCCAATGTTTTTTGGGGAAAACAAACAATCCCCCCACCCAATAAAACCCCCATATATGTCTTCCTTCCACCTTGCTTCTGGCGTTAGAATTTACAAATGTTCTCTTGTTTAGTCTGATGCAGTCTATTCTTCGTTCTTCCGTCCAGTATACGCCTTCAAAACCAATTCGCTCTGTAATATGCAGATTCCTACTGAAATGACCTTGTTCCATGGAGAAATCTAGGGGTAGAGCCCTTTTAGAATCTGACATCTGTTATATTATTTCCACCAAAAGAGGCAGCAAATCCTCTCTTTCTCAAAGGATAATGAATTCTTAGAGCCTTTTTGCTACAGAATACAGACTGATGCTTTTTCCCGATAATTTCAAGCTTTCCTCTGTCATAACAGCCAATAATTCATTAGGCAGCTTAGTTTGTCTTAAATAAGAGATCCTCTGAGGAGTCTCCCAACCAGGAATTTTCAGCTCAGAAACGTGCCATTTGGCCCATTCTCAAAGATCCATCTGACACTGATTGCAGACATAAAACAGGGACTAAAAAAAAAAAAAAAAAATATAGGTTGCCAATATGCTATTGGTGGACTATTTCATAGGCCTCCTACACCAAAGAGAAAAAAAAAATTATATGCCCAATATTTAGTTAGAAAGCAAAATCAAGACCTGTCTTATTGAACAAAGTTCTTTCTGGGCATGCTAGCTACGATGGTCTTAAAAATCGTGGTGGACTTAATGGCTCGTATCTTCCCCAGATAACATTTCTTCACTAGTACAAAGCAGGAAGGGACCAGTGGACGAAGATGTTTATTTCAGAGAAATTTACAAAAGAGACTGTGATGGTAGTTGTTCATTTCCAACCTGAGACTGGGTTTTAATTTCTCAGAAGTAGATTGCATGGTGATCATGACGGATGCTAGTGGGCTAGGTTGCGGAACCCGTTTCATTCACATTTATGTCCAATGGAATTGGGGTAAAAAAAGTCTTATGTTCCTACCAATATTTTAGCAGCTAACTTTATCCTTTGTCATTTTCCAGTTAGATAAATGGGTGAAACTGAAAATGGATAACAAGCGAGCTGTTGCATATATCAACAAACAAAGAGCAAGACCCTCCTTCAAGAATTATCCCCACAGAAGACAGTTTTAGGCCTTCCGGTAGGTAAAGTCCAGGAAGAGACAATAAAGTGCATTTCCTCAGTCACCATAGCTTGGAAAGTTAATGACAATATTGAGCTGCCCAAGTTTTTTTTGATGCTGTGGTCAATACGTATTGCAATCAATACATAAATCTTCCTGTCCTACATATGATCATATTTGAATGTGAGTGGTCCAAAAATAAAAAAAGTGTCAGTTTCCTCTCCTTTTGTGATTGTCATTCTGGAGTTTCTGCAATCATGAATAGATCAGGTTTTTTTTAGAGTTCTACTCGAGTGCAGCCCTAGTGGGAACTGGGTGGGCAGTGAACTATTTTTTTTATGGTTCTTTATAGAGTCAAGAAAGTACAACATATGATTAAATCTCAATCACCCCATGGGACTAGGGATGCATTATAATTTCGTCAGCCGAAAATTTTGTTTGAAAATGGGCCTATCCCATTTTGGCCGCAAATGGCTCAAATATGCCGAAAATCAGGCATAGCGACTTTGGGAGGGGGCCTGGCGGCTTGCCCTGTGTGCCGCCGGGCGCGAGGGAGAGAGCCAGTACAGTCTGCAGCTCCGCTGGGTGTGAGCTGCAGACTGTGCTGTAACATTTAAACCACTGCATGCCTAAAAGTAAACCCCATCAGTTCCCTCACCCGATCGCTCCCAAGCCGCCTCCCGAAACTGCTGCAAATGTCCGAGTCCTGTGCTCTATCTGTATCTGTGACAGGACCGCACACCGCCCCTGTGCTACTTTGTACCCAGAAGTGACGTGTGAGCAGTGGGACAGCGTGTGGCAAACATTCACACCGTGAGCGGTAAGTAAATTAACTTATTATATTCTGAATGTACCTGCCAATCTGCCCAGACTGCTGATGAAGTGCTTTGTCCTAGCACTCAGTCCACTCATGCATTTGTAAATCCGACAGATTTCAAAATGAGGGACAGATCCTTGGGAGTTGGGACCTATTTTTCTTCAAATTTGGAACTGTTGGCACCTATGTAAATTAACACTTCCTGGGGGCTTATTAATCCGTATTCCCCTTCAATCCCCCATCCACTGTGTACTGATGTATACACAGATTAACGGGGATTATATACATTTAATAGAAAATCATCATTTAATGCAATCTAAAGTGAATTGGAATTTAAATAGCACAAATATATCATTACATAAAGGGATAATAAATATATATCCTAAATTAATCTAAAGTAAGCTTGGCTATTTTTGTGTCATTCACTTCTCAGTTTGCTATTTACTAAGGACCAAATGCAGTGCAGATTAACAAAATTCAGTTAAAAAAAAAAAAAAAAAACACAAAAAAACCCCACAACAATTCTCATATTTACTAGTTGCAAATCCTGTTGAAATATACAGGGTTATTCACTAAAGGAAGAATTCAAAGTGTATTTCAATTAATTTAAGGCCAGAGTAGCTGAATAGAAAGCATAAACTAACTCAGAATTTTTCCAGTTTGGCTATTTTCATCATACACTTTAAATTCACACAATTGTATTCCCTTGCACTAGGAATGCTATTCCTACCCCCCCTCGCTCGCACAATTATTAGGACAAACCCATAGGAAAGCATTGAATCATTAGGTGGCCAAAAGGTGCCTAATATACAAAGTTGCTTTAATTCCTAAGGAGCTAGCTAAAGTAGTAAGTGCTTATGGTGGCTTTAAATTTGACGTCAGGGCCTGCCGCGGCCCGCGTGAGGTCCAATCAGAGGCTTCTCATAGAGAAGCCTCTGATTTGACCTTTTTACAATCTCAGAGCGCAGGGGAGTGGGAGGGATGATTGGGAAAACAATTAGCAGAGGGTATAGGGAGGCGGAAAGGGACTTAAAGAGGTAGGGAGGGGCTACACAAGCTTCACCCTTGCATGCTATTTTTGCAGGGGTCAAGCTAATTACATCAGTTGCCAGTGTGCAGTGCATACTGAAGATGGACGTTAATTATGTACAGATCAGCCTAATGCACTTATATTTTAAAGGTCTTTTACCCCATCAATTCAGTTTAAGTTTAAACTAGCAGCTTTGGGTGGCACTGTGTGTATAATATCTATGTATCTTTTTATAAGTAAATAATAATAAAAGTTATTTTTAAGTTAATCACTTTACTTTTTTAATCTATAGCTGAGGCATAATCCTCTTTCAGTGACTTTACAATGTCAGCGGTTTGGAACTATTTCAAAGTTTCTGATAAAGACATCAAATTTGCAGTCTGCAGTCTTTGTTCAGCTGAAATTTCAAGAGGAAGTACAGTGCAGAGGCACTTTTCCACAACAGCCTTGATACACCACCAGAAAACACGACATCCAATTCAGCATGAAGAGTACAGAAAAGCAATGTTCGTAGAGGAGCCGGACGGCTAAGGGGATCACGGTTCTCTACCAACTACTGCTTACCTCCACCCCATGCACACCCTCAAAATACATGTCCTGATGGGAACAAGCCACAGGATGCACGCTTACGGATCCACAATGGGACAAAATACACATCCTAGCGCACCAAGGCACCATTAGCACCAAAGTGCAGGAGCTCAACTATAAACTTATTGTTAATTGGTACCGGACCCCTGTCCAACTGCATCACATGAACAGTGAACACTCTCAGGCGTGCTGGAGATGCGGTTCGGAGCTGCATATCTGGTGGTCGTGCTCAAAAATAGGGCCTTACTGGTAACTCCAAGATTACCGAAATACTGGACTCGGACCTGCCCTTCCAGCACCTGTTACATCACACGACATGCTTCTTTAAATGTACAAGCGCTCCCTCACAAGACACCTACTGAACGCAGCTAAATCCCTCATCCCGCTTAAATGGCGCACAGCGGATCTACCGACCATCGAACAATGGATGGATAGGGTCAAAGAACTATACAGCATGGAAACTCTCATGCCTGCATTGCACGGCACCTCAGAGAAATGCGCCGAAACATGGGCCCCCTGATACGCATACATGGCGCAAAATGCACCACGAGGAGTCCAGAGGCCATTGCCCACCGGAGGAGAAGAGTAAGAAGAGACTGTGTCCCCCCCCCCCCCTCCAGAAAGGGCTGGGTCAGTTGATCTAGCCACTCATGTGCTGGTGGAGATGGCCGGGAATGGGCAGGCCCGACGGGTCTATCCTGATGCGGGACACTGTTAGGCTAAGAGTGGCGGCGCAGGAGATCCCACAACCCCTTTTTTTTCTCTCTCTCTCCCTCTTCTCTCTTACCTTCTCTTTCTCCCTTCCATTCTCGCTCTCTCTCCTGTTCCTTGCCCCTCCCCCCACGTGCCCGGGACTGTGCCTGAGCCTCTTCGACTGGACTAAGAAACGATAACCGGCGACTGCGTCGCTTGACCAGCCCACACAACCACGACAAACAGCGTGACAGAAGCCAGACCCACGTATAAACAACCTGACACACCCTAAGACTGACCTGCTCACTGGACGTTCCTGCTCTACACATGACACCCTTGAGTGTCTTAAGCTCAGGCATCGAGGCGGGAGGTTGGGCCCTCATACGTGCCACGGTTTTCCCTGTGGCTATGTTACCCTATTCCGCATCCAAAATCGGGACAGTGCCTCTGGAGTAGACGCACAAGCAGATTTAGCAGGCAAAGCCACTGAGCTATCACCGTCCAATAGCGGTCTTTCCACCGTACCCCTCATGTGGGGGAGACTCACCGTACTCTAAGCTAGCTGGCACAGTACGTGGCCTTAACTGGCCCAGGGGGGTGGAGGGATGGTTAAGGCGGGATGCGGATCACACCTGACTCCCCCAACATACCTGTAGCTATGAGTTTCCGAGAGTTCCCCACCCAACTACATGACGAGACAGGAACTACCTACCATGGTGATGTCACCGACATCAATTTGCAACATCGAGAGTATCTCTGCACCACTGTAACAAACCTTAGGCTAGATAGTGGGCCCACTACATGGCTGTTAATTATAAACATGTTACCGTTGAAATACTGTTGCGAACTTGCAAATCTACTTATTGTGAGCTTTTTTTTCATACTCAACTGTTAAAAACAAAAATAAAGATTGTAAAAAAACCAAACAAAAACAAAAGTATAGAAAAGCAACAATGCTTAAAAGTACCCCAACTACTAGCACACCAACACCATCTGTCACCACAGTCTTTGAAAAGACTAAGAAATTTGCAAACTATAGTGCCAAAGCACAAGGTATTACAGAGGAAATAATGGAATTTCTTGCCTTCGATGAACAGCCATTCTCTGTCGTAGAAGACATAGGATTTCGTAAGCTTATACAACACATTGAGCCTCATTACACACTGCCAAGCAGATGTTATTTTGCAGAAACCGGTCTACCTGAAAAGTTTGACCGGGTTTCAAAATGAGCTCATGACCACAGACATCCCAGCTCTAAGTTTTACCACTGACATTTGGAGCTCAGACGTAAGTCCTACTAGAATGCTCAGCTTAACAGACGCGGATTTTAAATTGCAAACAATTTTGCTTCAGGCACAAGAGTTTGTTTGGGTCACATACTGCAGCAGCGATATCTGAGGCTTTAGTTACCATGCTTGAAACTTGGCACATTGACAAGTCTAAAGTACATCCGATTGTCTGAGATAATGCATGGAACATGGTAAAGGCTATGGAGGACAGTGACCTTAATAGCATACTGTGCATGGCACACACTCTGCAGTTGGCTGTGAATGAAGGAGTGCTGAGTCAGCATACCGTATATAACCGCATCAGGGAGAAAAATTGTGGGTCACTTTAAGCATTCTCCGCTTGCTTATTTCCGATTACAAGCTTTGCAAGTACAGTCTGGCCACCCAAACGAATGCAGTAAGATATAGCCACTCGCTGGAACAGCACGTACTATATGTTAGAAAGACTTGAACAAAAGCGAGTCTTAGCTGCGTACATGGCAGATTACGAACTGACAGCAACGTTCAGTGCACATCAGTGTATGCTAATTGAAAATATTGTCTCTTCTTGCTCCATTTGAACAGTTAACCAAGGAAATAAACTCAACTAATGCATCTGTTGCTGAAGTTATTCCCTTGATTGCAGCACTGAAGCGTCTGCTAGGAAAAGAGGTGCAAACAGACCATGGCGTCAAAATAGCTAAAAGCACTCTATTGGAGGCTGTTAAACGCTTTCAAGACACGGAGTCCAACCCCCTGTACAGCAATGCAACAGTACGAGATCCTCAATTTAAAGAACATTACTTTGACGTGGAGAAAAAGCATTGTGCATGGGAAATTATACAGGCACAGTTGAAAGTGATGGAAGCATCTGGTGAAAGAGACTTGATGCACAGCACAGAACAAAGTGTGCCAGAGAAACGGTCACGACGTACAAGTGATAAGGAGCACATTCCCTTGCTTTCTGACATGTTTGACGAGATTCTACAGGAAAGCAGCACCCCAATCCACAACAAGTGCAGCTACAAAACAGATTTCTCGCTGAACTACCCATCGCCAGAAGTGACAATCCCCTTGACTACTGGCGCATGAGCAAAGATCGCCTTTCATTGCTTGCACGCAGATAGCGAGAGACTATTCAGTGCAGCATCTCATGTTCTTGATGAGAAGAGGAACTGTCTCTCCTGTGAGAAAGCAGAGCAACTTTTGTTCTTGAAAAGAAACCTGCCACTTTTACTTAAATAGAAAGCAGTCCAAGTTGTCATGTATGTATTTATTTTATTTAATTAAAATTGTGTAGCCTGGCAAACATTTATTCTTGACTTGAGGCTATGTCCGTTTACAGTTTAAGGTTGGTTTTATAGCAGTTTCTTGCACTGTTGTTTTGTACAGTTTTCAAATAAACTGGAAATACGTTTATTGATATTAAATTAGTATCAACAATATGTTATTCTTCAGTCCTATATAACAAACAGATTTAAAAAAAAAAAAAAAAGTTATTTTCTGTCCAATTTTGGTGTGTTACTTTCAATAAAAGTGTGGTTATTTTATTGGCTTGTAGCTTTTCAGATTAGATTTATTAAATTCATTAAAAAGTCTAATATTAATAAAATTATAGAAAAAAAAAAAAAGCTATTTTAAAAGTATTTGGGCAATAAAGTCATCTTTGGTTTCCGGCCAAGGGCATCCAGAATTTTCACTTCGGTGCATCCCTACATGGGACTTAACCTTGATTTTTATGTCTCTTACTTATCCACTGTTTGAAGGTTTGAAAGAAGCTTCTGATCTGCTGCTGACTCTTAAATGCCTCCTTTTGACTGCAGTGACTTCAGGAAAGCGTGTTTTGGAATTGCAGTCCTAGTCTACAGAGAGACCTTATACAGTCTTCTAACCAATCAGGATAGATCTGGGAATTGCCTTGGATTTTAGAAGAAAAATTAATTAATTATATAATTAATAAATTATCCAGGAATAGTAAATGCCTTAAAGATAATAATTGGTGTTGTAAAATTGTAAGTAAATTGAAAAATAAAAACTGGAAAAAATAACGAAAAACAGTTTTGGATTTTAGACCATCAGGTTATTTTATCCTTCCATCAATCAAGAAATCATCTTGCCTAACATTTATCAATCCTGTCTTTTCTAGACAAACCTTGGATGTAGCCAGATTTTTGTTTAGTTATCTCAAACTAAGGCATGGAAAATCTATGAGAGTCTTCACAAATATTTTTTTTTTTATATCCATGGCAGTATAAACAAGTTTTTCCTTTAATATACAATTTGATCCTGTATCTAAAACAGAAGGGTATAGGATGGGGGTGTCCTATTTATAATTATATTTACTGTCTTAAGCAGCCAAGTAGGAGGGGCTTAACCCAGTAATGATGTTGCCAAGGATATATCCAGGAAAAGAAAATAAGGCAACTATGAATACATTTTCGTATTTTTAGGCGATTCGCTCATCACATCCTGCGCAAACTACCATCTCAATTTGGGAAGATCATGGCCGGGTCATAAACTGAGAAAAATCTAAACTATAGCTAGTTTCTGGGCATCTTCATACATACAGAATCAATGCATTGGTTTCTTCCAGTAGAGAAAAAAAAAAAAAGTTCTGTAAACTGCAATTCGTACACTGATGAAGGAATCATTTTGTTTCACAACAGTAGCAATGCAAGTTTGTCAGTAAGAATTCCTGCTACGAAGTAAGCAAAAACTAATTTCAAACTTCTGCTGAAGAGACACTGATTGGGTCTCACAGCATGCCTCCACGCCAATTGTGAACTTTGCTTGACTTCGTCAGTTTAATCAGCATGCATGATTCTCATCATTAGCAGATTAACTGGGTACTGATATTAGTAGAGGGTTTCCTTGTAGTTAAGGTTAGAGCTATGGGAAAGTAATGGAAAAACCCCTACTTAAAATTCCTGGTGTTTAATGGTTTCCACAGAAGGTAGGTTAAAGGTCTACATGTCTGAAAGTTCTGCATTTTTTGTGCAATCTGGGGTTTATTTTATTTTAGTGATTAATGGTAATATTACTGACATTATATACAGTATTCTAACATAAAAATGTATGTGCAGAGAGAGCCTTTCTTCAATGCACCTGTGTTAAACAAAAATATACAACTGGATAAACCTGTCTAGACAGGCATTGTCATGCTTTGAACCAGTGTGTCACTTTCACTTTCAACATGAGTTGAACTGTGGCCAACTGTTTCTTTAATATTTTGATTACATATGTAAAAATGTTGTCAGACCATTGTTTTCAATCAACCACTCTTGTGCAAGAAGAGGAAAATCTGCATTGGGCAGAGCTAAGCTGTATGTGAAAAGTACTCTAGGAAGCAAAGTGACAAACAGGCTCTAATACCGCAACTCTATGTCAAATGTCAGAGGACAACTCTCCATATGGGGACATGCTTTAATAAAGCTAACCAAAATGACAGCTATTTTTATCTACAAAAGGACTTTCATGAAAAAATAGCTTTTGATATCTTGTAACACATGTTCATAAGCTATAGCTCAGTGGGCAAAGGTTTAATAGATATAGCTATTTAGTTTAAATGACACGAGTTTTGATGTTGGTTAAGTCTCCTCCTTAAGTCTGCTGGTGTTTTTTACCAGAAATACTACTGACGGCATCTAGTCTGCTGTGTAGAGCAGTGGGAAAAGCCTGTAATGCTGCAAACACACCACTGCAAAAAATAGTTTTTCAGCCAGTCACATAGAGAGGCTAGAGGAGACACACCCCCCCCCCCCATCAAAAAAAAAGTGTTACAACCACCACAGCGTTGCAAATAGCGTATAAACTATAAACATGTCAAAATATGTATAACTTACAGTATTGCATGCTTGTATAGCCATCTGCAACTCCTCACATCACTCACAGACACAGACAGCATTTTAAGGAGCCAATACAAACAAGAGACCAGAGAAAAGTTAAACTTTACAGTATTGTTTTCTTCTATATACAAAGAATTACAGTACATAATCACAGAATGGGAAATATTCCCTTCCATTAGTGAGAAAATGCAAAAATAAAAAATAACTACTTACACAGAGAAATAAAACAGTTAAAAAAAACAAAAACAGTGAAAAATTAAAAAACAAAACACAAATCGAAAACTCAATGTGACATAAGAGTGTTTTTTACATCAATTGACAAACAATAGCTGCCCCATCATCCCCTTATCACACAGGCAGCAAGATGAAGAAACGTTGCAGAAAGCTTCACTATTCCAGAGCCAGATATAGCACCATTGTATGTGGCGTTACAAACAAGATACTATACGGAGAATATGCATTTCCTCTCTGCTAAGGCCCTCTTGTCCGCATAACACATCAAATAGCACCAAATGATCTAATTCAGCTAATGTTTGTAAAAATCGAAAGACAAGATTTACTTTGAATAATGAATTTTCTGTTGCTTTGCCAAGTACTATTTACCGAGCACAATACAACAGCTTACCAATACCTTCCATACTAGGATACACAATGCAGTTATTCGTGCATTTACTTTATGCTAGATTGTGATATATATAATAATAATAATAGTTTTTGTGTACTGCACAATTTACTCCATTCCTGAAATCTAGGCTTCACAGTAATGTAAGTATAATGAATCACCAATTGTCCTGCCCTGGCATTTTCAAGCTAAATTCTGATTTTCAAATAAATATTTTGAGGGATAAACTCCCCCCTCCCCCCAACTTGGTAACTCATCAAATAAAGTGACAGTATACCTATAGGAAACCCAGGAGGTACAGCTTTCTTTGTAGAATGCCCTGTAATAATTATAATAAAACGTGATAAAGTTATTACACAGTCACACAGCTAACCAGGTAAGAGGAAACTAAAGCATTACTTCCTCATCTAGAAACTCCAGCTGCCAGCCAATGAGGTGCCACGGCCACCTTCCCAGTGAGTCCCCACATGTGGAGGTCAGCTTATAGGTGAGTGAGACAGTGGATAATCTACTGTAATGTAGTGGCTGCATGAGAGTAATAGGAGTGTGATTGTCATCAGCAGTCACTCTAATATCAGTAACAGTACTGTACATGCTGGGATCTCAGTAATCCCAGCATTTATTGTCTGTGAGCAATAGGGGTGTGATTGCCGACAGCCAATAACCTGGATCTGTTTTGGCTTTGGAAAAATATCTGTCTATGTCACGATGGTTGCCATTTGTTGGCTGAGAGCTGTCAGCCACTGACAGTCATTCACTGCACAGAACTGACAGCCACCTCGTAACTCGTTTCGTGCTGGCTGATGACACCCCTGTGACGATGCCAGAGGTAGAGTTATAACTCTGGTGGTAGAGTGGTTAGCCTCTGTATTTGCAAAGTCTAACACTGCACATAGAGACTCCAGGCACCATGACCACATCAAATCAATGAAGTGGTCATTGTGCATAGGGTAAACTTTTAAAATAAAAAAATGGGCCACCTAGTTTATATTGTGTACATAATTTGGGTCCGGATTATGAACCTTTACCTTAAAAGGACACTCCATAGCAGACTTATGACTCAGATTTTTGAATGCATTATAGACACCATTCATAAAAATAAAATAAAAAATAGAGAAAAAAACAAACCGAGGATCATTATGTTTCTATTCATTTCCCATAAACTCATACCGTGATACTTTTTAAAGGAAAACACAGACCATGGTAAATACATAGCTCTAGAGCTTACGTCTTTCCTGTTCAAAATGAGTCATTGGAGAAAAGCTATGGTCTAATGGAAGGATGGGGTTTAGACAAAGCAATACATATGTATTTATGAAAAATAACCAAAAAAACAAAAATGACAATCGATATGACTCTTTCCACGGCGCCCTGATGCATTCTAGCACATTTTGTGTCAGTGGCATCCCTTTTTATCTAGATGTCCTACAAAAAAGAAAAAATATACAAAGAATACCTTCAATCGTCCTAGCACAGGCAGATACTAGATCTGAACCATTGGTCCCCCCCCCCCCACCTCATTTAGGTATACAATGTCACTCTATTTGATGTTAGAATATAACTTTTTGTTTATGCACTTGTTTGAAAAAACTGAATGGTTTTGCATCTGGCATGGCTTATTCTGTACCTGACTTTATCATGGATTATCTCTGCCTGTGATTAAAAGCTAGCGCTCAAATCGAAAAGCAGATGAGCTATTTGTTGGTGGAAAAAGCTGTAGCAAGAAAATTTTATTTTAAAAACTATTGAATTACATTTTAAATATAAAAAAATTAAAAACGTTCTGGATCAGCACTACACGCACTGCGTATGTGTGTCAAGGCAATGAATCCAGTAATTTGCTCTTTATTCAATACACTTTTCCATGCAGTAAAGCGGTCACTGTGTAATTCTGATGCACAGCATTAAAGTGACTGTTAGTGCTTAGACTTTTTTGTGTGCTTTTCTATGTGCTTGCATCTGTGTATGTCCCAAGCTTCGACTAACTGTATGCAACTTTGTATAGCGCTACCTTTTTGTCTGTACACTTGCCTTATTTAGTTATTCAGCAAAACTGAATTTGTAGTGAAGTGTAAAGGGAATTCCAAATTAATTGCAGGCCCAAAACAGAAAAAGTTTTGAAAAAGTTCCCTAATAACTATTGGCAATGCTTAAAATTTCCACTCACCCATTAGCTGTTGGCTAATGAAAATTCAGCCCAGGCAAGAAAAACTGTGCCACGGACTCTCCTGACTTGCTGCGACACTTTCAGGCCAGTCTAGTAGCAAAAGATTTAAAAGTAAACCCTGCTATTTGGCATAAAGTTAAAAAAAATTTCAGAATTTCCAGTTGAGTGAATAACCTCACTTGTGTGTCTCTAGAATTCAGCTCAATAAAAGGAAAAAACAAAAGCAAAACAGGAAACAAAAATAAGTCTGATTGTGACTTATTTAGTGCTATGTCTATCAACATTCTTATTGACAACTTTTCAGTTAAAATACATAAATTTTTATATAACCTCAGCTAAAGGCAATTGTATAGAGTGAATTCTTTGCCTCTTATAAAAACGTTCTTACATGTATAGTATTTACTTTAACGTGCGACTTGGAGTCTGAGGCCTGTCACCGCTACATAAAACAGTTTCCTGGATACAAACACACACATATCACATGTCATTTTTGTGACGAACGATTATTAGAACGCTGGACAGCACTTAAACCACGCTGTAAAAGAAATGAAAAATTATGCAGATTAAGGTAAAAACAAAGTTTTGTGTACTCAACTAAAGGGTTTGATTAGAAACTGAACAAAAATTTTTTTTTAAATAAAATGAAAAATCCTCAAGGCATCTAAAATGTTAAAAACAAGAAAAAAACTTATTAAAACACTATTTTTTTCCCCTTTAACAACCTACATTCTAGCTTCTGATCCAAACTCATTTATTCATAGCTAAGATATTAAAAATGTGCAGAAGGCCAGGGGATGATAATATGATATCTCACAACAGCAAGGCATTGGTACAGTCACCAATAACAAGATTCAGGAGATTTTATTTCAAATAAAATAGTAGTAATAGAAAAACAAACATTAAAACAGCAAGCACAGCTGCTTGTAGCACCATAATCCCTCTTGGGATTGCTCAGATTCAGCAAAAGCAGGAGGGAGATTGCAGGTGGTAAGGGACTTGAGGAGGAATTTGGGTCTAAAATTAAGAAAGGCCTTTAAATGCTGATCCAGAAACTCTATTCTCAATACGCAAACCATAATAGTTTGGTCGTATGCAACAAAACAAAGCAGACACCACATGCCAGGTAAAACCTCTCAAATCCATGAAATGCACTTCAAAGACTCAACACATTCAGATCACACTTATCTCCAACTCAGGTAAAAATGAATCACGGCTTAATCGGATATACCACTTAAAATCCTTTCCTTTTGCTTGACCTTAACACAAAAGTATGGAGCAATGGATGTATAAAATGGCAGACTTTTATTCCTCTTTATCCACATGAGGTATTGGGAGCTCTGCAGAAGCCAAAGTTCTTCTGGAACTGTGCCGGCTGTGATGCGTACATTCTGTACATGTATAGTAAAACACCTACTAAGAAACATCTGTAGTTTAAAACAGTTTGTCAATGAAAGTGTTTTATGCTCCAATGCTAGACTCACACAGTGAGTCAGTCCTTGATTTCCTAAACATACACACAAACACAGCTCACAGCGTTTTGGACAGAAGTCACCAAGCAGTGATGGTGGCAGAAAAGTCTGTATTGTTGACAGGTTGATGCAATTCAGGAAGTCATATCAAGGCCTAATACTGCAGACATTGTCCTCAACTGACTTAGGAATTAAAGTTTTAGTTTGGCATTGACAGGTAAGCTGTGGAGACATGATTTTTACTAGATGCCTCGCTAGCTTTTTTTTTTTTTTAGCAATTAAAAAAACAAACTAAAAACTAGTAGAATTCATTTTGTGTCATCATTAATAAAAGTAGCTCGGCATCATCATTCTCTCACACGCCTTTCAAGATTCGTTGGAAAGCCATTTTAGTGACAGAACAGTGACCAATAGTGCTCACCCCCTGGCACTTAAATTTAAAGCTCCCCAAAGCGTTCACATATTACTACACTTCATTGTAATAAGGCACCTCTCTATTATATTAGTCACTAAACCCAGTGTTACAAGAATCTGCTGACCATAATATGCTGACTGAAGTGCCTTATTGCTTCTGAATAGTGACTCCTTGTTAAGAGCATTGTCTTCCATCACTGAGTGAACAACCCCTGCATCCACATCAACACATTTTACTAAAAACCCATTGGATGTTAGGGGCTCAGTGACAGCAAGCCTTGACTGCAAAAGGCTAGGGACATCTGAGGTGAGGGGGTGGGGGCAAGGGAGATTGTTTGCCCATATGCGATTTTGACATTTAGCTCTGCAGAGGATTTTCTTTATAGTGTAAAAATGTTACAGCCGTTCCCACACAATACTTGTGTATTCCAAATATAACATATCTCCCTTGGTTCAGCATAGTCTTTTCTCATTCTGCTCTACACTCCATCCTTCATTTATTTTCTTCAAGAGTGGCAAAGCAGGCAGATTCCTGTAATGGTCTGGGAAGGGCTGAAGGCCGGCAACTAGAAGAAATGTTCTGTCCAAGTAAAATAGGTGGGTCTTTTTCTGAAACAGAGGGGACTGAATGTTCTACAGGGCTAGTGGGTATCTCTGTGGGGGTAGAAAGAGGAGACTCTTCTGCAGGACCTACAGGCTGGTCTTTTGCTTTGTGGGTGGAAGATGTTTCTGGCATGGACACAGACTCGTTAGGGATCTTAGGATGCTCTCTTTGGATTATATTTGAAGATTTCTGTATAGAATTTACAGGTTCCTCTAATGGGCTTACTGAGAGTAGCTTCTCCTTTGTGGTTGACCTTGCCTTGAGTGCTTCTGAAGGTTCTTGAGATGTTAGAGTGGATGATTTGTTTAGCAAGGTTTTAGGACAACCCCTTGCATCTATATTTGAAGGTTTACCTTTAGCATTTACTAGTCTTTCTTTTGAAGATGTGGAGCCTGGCCCTTGTTTCTGGCTTTTTTTTTTAGTCAATGATTTCAGTAAAGAAGGTTTATTTATATTTTTTACTGGGGCAAGAGACAGTGGTGTTTTGGTTAACTGAAGAGTCGAGGAAGCAGCAGACTCACACTTGGTTTGTGTTTTGCTTTCATCAGATAGCAAGGTTTTTCCACCCAAAGTCTGCTGCTTTACAGTCGAGGTCAACATTCCCTCCCCAGCTGTTGATTGGTGCTTTTCAGATGATGACAAAACAATTTTTCCATTTGACAAAAGCGGCTTTCCTGAAGAGGATAGAAGCACCCTACCAAAAGGTAAAGAGTTCTTACGAACAGGTGCCAACATTACCTTCCCAGCAGGCAGATGGTTTTTACCAAAAGAAGCTAACAAAACCTTTCCAGAAGATAGGGATTTTTTCCCCAGAGTAGTCAAGAGTACTTTCCCAGAAGGTAAAGACTTTTGACCAGTAGAGGCCAGAAATAACTTCTTACCAGCTACAGAATTCTGACCAGATCCAAGAATTATTTTTCCAGCTGGCACAGATTTCTGCTCAGAGGATCCCAAATTTGCCTTCCCAGTAGTTTTAGAGTTTGTACCAAGAGCCAGGACAACTTTCCCAGACCCCGAGGTGCTGGACACTGTTGGAGTTAGCAGCACTTTTTTTAACGAAGGATTTAACTTGTGAGAATCTGTGTTTTCCTTTGCATTGTCCACAGTTTCTTTCTTTGGGGAAGGACCTGCAGAATCACACTGCTCACTAGAGGAGTTCTCATATTCTCGAATTTCTCCAGGTTCTAAGGGATGAGGTCCACATGGATCGTGCTCAGTGCAAGATAATCGTCCATCAAGTTTTGAGATGAAGAGCATGCCCTCTCGGTGCTGCTTACAGAAGGAACTTGGACACATCTCACAGAAAGAAGCTGCCTCCTTCCTACAGATGTCACACTGATGCCATGGGCACTCCCATTTACCTAGAATAAGAATAATAAAATAAATAAAAATACATGAATACCATATAATGAACACAAACAAACAAAAAGAAAAGTATGAGTGCTATGTGCAAGCTTTAAACTCTATACATTCATTTTACAAAACTGCTCCAAAGTCAAACTACTAATCAGATTTAAAAAAACCACTTAGAAAAACATTTAGTGCCTAATCTAATGCTGAATCTAACATGTAGAATTAATCACATGACTGACTAATCTGATTCCAACAGCTATTTGTCCAAGTCTTTCAATGTTCCTCTAAAAATACCAACATGAATTTTGTTTTCCCCCATAATTAATTTTTTTCAAAACTTCAAGGTTCTAGTTCAGGAACTGATTATCTAAGCATTTAATATTTGGGATTATTCACTTAACTACAAATTGTAGTGGATTGAAAACCAAAACTCAAAGTTCATGCTCACTGAAATTCATGGTTATGTGAATAAACCTTAGCTCTGTACGTTTCCTGTACAATTATTTTACTTTAAGTATCATGCTATATGTAGCAGGGTGACATACCAGCAGGCCTCCGAGTTAGACTTAAACAGTCTGCATGGAACACTTTTGGGCACCCTGGCCTTTTGCAAGACACAAGTTGACCCCCATCTCCACAACTGAAACATTCATCTTCGTGCTCTTTCACCAATTCGCGTGCCTTGCGTTTTCTATACTTCTTCTTTCTCGCTCTGTCCTCTGAAACGATTGGCTGATTCTGAATACGAATAAAAGATCTTTGTTACATAATTCAGGATTTTAATATGGAAGCTATAAAATGTTATAAAATGCAAATGTTAAACAAAAAAGAACATTTTACCACTGGTGCATAAATCTGCAAATAGCTTAATAGAATTTTGCAGAGCTCCATAACCACAATGCCAACAAAGAGGCCTCTGGGATTACAAGGTTACCTAGAACATGTATCTTATTCCCATATTGACATGTTCACTGAGCATTCCAATGAGTAAAATTGTACCAGCACAGAGGCTGCAAAAAACACAAAAAAACACAAGCCTGTACCAGCAGAAACCAGAGCTGAGATTCCACTCCAAAGCAAAGCATAATGAGCTTGGCCACTAAAAGCAAGCCAAAAGAATAGCACTCCACCAGGTAAACTACAAGAAACGTTATTCAATTGTAAGAAATAGCCCAGACAGGATTGTTATAGTTTTTTCCCTGTGGGCCGCTTCTATTTTTGGCTGGGTCAAGCTCAAAAGCTTGTTCTATCCTTCCAAGGAAACTATTTATGTTCAAGGACTACAACTAATTAAATGCACTGTATCATGGCATACCAAGATATATCCATTATGTGCCAGACAGTGCCTTGAAAGACTCACAAATCATGTATATTACTATAATAAGTTAGTTCCATAATAGGTTTAACAAACAAGACAGGCTCTATTTAACTTTTAAACATTATTGAGTTCTCTTAAATATGTGCAGTATATTACTTAAAATCCCATGAAAAGTGGTTTGTTAGCCCTGACAAACTAACAAAAGACATCACAACAGCTATTTGTTTTCACCCACAAAAAGATAAAATAACCGGTTATCCTCCACTGACTGTTACAAACACAATAATAATAATAAAAATAAAAAAAAAGAGAAAAATATGCATCATTCCACTGTTCCCCCCCCCTTTTGTCAACCAATTGTTCAGGCAACACACCTTGGGTCTCACGCCGAGAAAGCCACTACAGTTAGGAGCACCACATTTACAAACTGTCTTCCCGTTGCCAAGACACTCCAAGTTGTAGTTGAATGTTAGCTCAGTGCCTGCCAACATAAATTATAGCATTTATATTCAAATGATTAAGGCATATTTACAGACTTTAAATGCACTTGGGGAAATGGTAAACATGTAAGTTAACCAGTTAAAATAGGAGATAATGTATGGGGCAGGGAAGGAACAAAAATCATTAAGTTGGCAAAGTACATTTGTCAAGTAGGCCACATTACAGTCTGTGTCATCATAGTATCTCTATCCTACTCGAATACTATATAAGCACTACCAAAAAGTAAACAATAAATAAGGCTTAATATGATAGTTTTTCAATCTATACCAAATCCATTATTATATGAAGCCATAAAACCCAACCATAGTTAAGTGATGTTCCACTTACCAGCTTTAATGTCACAGAGGGCAAAGAGCCCAACACGAGTATCACCATTCACAGTCCATTTCTGAGTCTCACAGTTGGGCTGGCAACAGTGATTCATAAATCGTGCAAAATTACCTTTTGGCCCTGCATCAATTACCCGGTCCTGGAACAAAGTTACAGAATGTATTGTGTATATGTAGTTTAAGGTTCTTTAATTTGGCTTTACATCAAATCAGTTAAGATTTTTGGATGGAGGAGGACAACACAAACAAAACAAAAAAAAGGAAAAAAACGTTATAGTTAAATATGGAGGAAACCACTGCGTATATCCAAATCTAATCTGTAACAAGATCAAAATATTTAAATCTATATTAAGATTTCCAATTGTACACAGGAATTCAAATAATTACTAAAAGATTTGCCTTTTTTCCCCCAGTTGCTTGTCTTTTATTTTTCCTCTTTAATTAATAGGATTGAATTTAACCAAGTAAACCTTTATACAGATGCATACACTACATATCCATTCAACAAGGAACACCCTATATTACTTACATACATTCCAACACATACACAATCTTTCTACATACCTTGTCCAGTGTAAGCATATAGAAATTTGTGATATCTTGTTCCTGGGCATAACGAATCCGAGCGCGACACTCTTCCTCATCAATCATTTCACCCACATACTCATTGACAAACTCACCCTGTAAGTACAAAAGTACATTTTCATTACGTAAGCATATGAAAGGATGCATAGACACTGGGAAATACATACAGAACAACCATATAAGTTAACACAGAGAATAAGGTACAAAAGAGCTACATATGCCTGGACAAAAAAAACTAAATTAAAAACATTAATAGGATTGTCTCGCGGACAGCCACTGGAAGCGATTCCTGCATGCAAACAGAGATTTGGTCCGGTATCGGACACTGTACGTCTTCATGTTCTGCATGGGGACATCCAGCGTCAGATTTTTTTTCCCCATAAGAAAGCACTGATTCAGTGTTTTCCTATGGGGAGGTGTAACTAATGGTCAAATGATCATAGCACCGGGAACTGTGCCTCTCTTTCCCTTGCCAGCTCTGCAGGCCTCTCAGGCCTGCTAGCAGTGTAATGCCGGCAGGGGAGGTGGGGGTTTTTGGACCCAGGGGAGCTCTAACCTGCAGCTCTGCCGTGTTCTCCTCTCACAAGCTTGGAGCGTTGCCGTGGTTACAGTGGAAACGCTCCAAATCTTGCGAGAGTGATCTCTAGCCTGAGCTGCAGCTCACCAGGGATTGTCTTGCACTGTCCCCCCTCCCAGGCAAAGGTGAGCAGGGAGGGAGAAAAAAATAAAAAATACATATATTTATTTGCCCTCCTACCCCCACAGAGACACAATAACCCCCCCTACACACACTGTACCCCTCACAAACACTACAGCCCCACACACTGTACCCCTCATACACAAACTGCACCACATGCATGCACACACACTACATCCTTCACAAACACAATGCACCCCCGTACACTCACTGCACCCCTCGCACACCATCCCCTTCCCCCCACACAAACATTTCACCCCTCACACACACTACTGCCCCTATCCCCTACTACAGCCTGGCAGATCCCAGGTAAGTTGTGAAACTGTTCTTAAACAGTGGTTATTGTGCCTGGATTGTTTCGTTAAATAATCTACCAGTGCACCTCCCAAGATTAGGTTCTGGATCTGCGCTTAAACGGCAGGCATTTCTGTCGAACAGGGGCCCAGTATATGCCGCTGTTCTGTACATATATACAATCTTGAAAAAAATTTGATTCGGTGCGCCTTGGAAAGATTTTAAAATATTAAGGGTACCTTAAACTTAAAAAGTTTGTGAATCACTGATCTAGTCTATGAAAGCAAACAAAAAACATTACAGATTAAAATGTGCCATTTTCAATATATGTAAAGGGCAGCAGAGCTTGCAGATTTAAAATATAGGGACAAAAATCTCAACACACCTTTTTAATGTCAGATTTGCAGCGTAACCCCCAGCCTCTGCTTAGTGTTCGGAAGATCTCCACCTCTGGGTACTGGCGTTTAGAAAAGGCCTGGTTCTGACAGCGCTCTCCAGCTGGACAGACTTGTGGATGGCATTCATACAGTAGCATGCGGTTAATGCACTCCGAGTCCTGGCCACATGGGTTTTCATCAGATGCTTTGCAGTTGCAACGTGGGATTTCAGACAGGTCTGCTGTGAAGATCTGCACCTTACCAATAGGTCTGTTGACCTTCCAAAAAAAGTAGACTATTATTTTGTGTCATAGTTTTATCAAAAAACACATACAGTTGTGCTCAAAAGTTTGCATACCTTGGCAGAAATTTTGAAAAATGTTGGCATTGATTTTGCAAAAAATTACTGATCATGCAAACAAAATGTCACTTATTAAAGGATAGTTAAGATATGAAGGGCGGAGAGCTCCCAAAGTGGTCAGAAGTAGAGAGGGTGATGCAGAGAAATAGAACATTAGAAAGAGAAGATGGGCACTTAGGGGATTCTACAGATTCGAAATATAGATGGGCACTCTGGGATGATTATTGTTTGACCCTTGGATAAAACTTATTATAGTTACTCCTCTTCGTCAGCCCACCGTCCCGTTAGATTCTTGGAACAATGAATGCAGTATGTGTGTGGTAGTTTAAGTATAGGCACCCAAAGATACCTCTTGGGATTTGTCTCATTCCTTGGCTTAAAGTTATTTTTATTTTATTTATTTTTTTATGATCTTTATACTTTTCTATTTTTTATATATATTTGTATAGCGTCTCCTCTTTTAGTATAGAAGTTGGTCATATCTTCAGCTTATCCTCATTTTTAGGGTATGGGTGTTAAAAATTGATTAAGATGTAGGCTTGGTGAATGTGTTTGTTATAGGGGAAATTGCGTAATGAGGACCGGGATGAGGACAATATGTTGAGCCAATTGACAGTTATATGGCAATACCTGTACTGTGTTATAATATATTGTTAACTGACAGGTCGATTGTTTTGTATGTTTTATGTAACATTGTGTCAAAGTGAAATTATTGTGAAGAAATTTGTATTTGAGTTTTATGTATTTTGTGATAAAACCAATAAAAAATATTTAATTACAAAAAAAAGTTAAGATATGAAGCCATTTATTATCACATAGTTGTTTGGCTCCTTTTTAATAATTTGGGTGATCAATGAGGACAGAAATCAAACAAATAGCCCTGTAACATACACACAAGGTGACACACACACATTTAAATGGCAATTAAAGGTTAATTTCCCATATCTGTGGCTTTTTAAATTGCATTTAGTATCAGTGTATAAATAGTCAATGAGTTTGTTAGTTCTCACTTGGATGCACTGAGCAGGCCAGATACTGAGATACTAGATACTGAGAAAAGAACTGTCAAAAGACCTGCGTAACAAGGTAATGGAACTTTCTAAAGATGGAAAAGTTATCCAAAGCCTTGAAAATGCACTGTTCAATCACTTATTGAGAAGTGGGAAATTCGGGGATCTCTTGAAACTAAGTCAAGGTCAGGTAGACCAAAAAAAGATTTCAGCCACAACTGCCAGAAGAATTTCCACAGGTAACCTCAGGAGAAATACAAGCAGCATTGGAAAAAGACTGTATGGTTGTTTCAAATAGCACAATCCGATGATACTTGAACAAAAAATGAACTGCATGGTCACGTTGCCAGAAAGAAGTCTTTATTGCTCCAATGCCACAAAAAAGCCCGGTTACAATATGTCCGACAACATCTTGACAAGCCTCACTGCTTCTGGCACACTCTAATTTGGCATGACGAGACCAAAATAGAGCTTTATGGCCACAACCATAAGTGGTATGTTTGGAGAGGGGTCAACAAGGCCTATAGTGAAAAGAATACCATCCCCACTATAAAGCATGGTGGTGGCTCACTGATGTTTTGGGGTGTGTGAGCTCTACAAGTACGGGGAATTTTGTGAAAATTGATGGCAAGATGAATACAGCATACTATCAGAAAATACTGGCAGACAATTTGCATTTTTCAGCAGTAAGGCTGCGCATGGGACACTCTTGGACTTTCCAGCATGACAATGACCCTGCGCACAAGACCAAGCTGACCCTCCAGTGGTTACAGCAGAAAAAGGTGAAGGTTCTGGTGTGGCCATCACAGTTTCCTGACCTTAATACCATTGAGCCACTATGGGAAGATCTCAAATGTGCAGTTCATGCAAGACAACCAAAGACTTTGCCTGACCTGGAGGCACTTTTCCAGAGATGAATGGGCAGCTATTCCACCTGCAATAATTAGTGGTCCTATAGACAACTTTTACAAAACTGACTGCATGCTGTCATTGATGCTGAAGGGGGAAATTCACAGTATTAAGAACCAAGGGTATGCAGACTTTTGAACAGGGGTCATTTCATTTTTTTTCTTTGTTGCCAGGTTTTGTTTTATGAGTGTGCCATTCTATAATCTATAATCTACAGCTGAATATGAATCCAATGAGAAATAAAAGAAATGTGTTTTGCCTGCTCACTCATGTTTTCTTTACAAATGATACATATATTACCAAGTCTCCAAGGGTATGCAAATGTTTGAGCACAACTGTATGATATTGTGGAGCTTGTCTTTGATCTTGAATGCCCCAGGATTTAAGCACTGTGGCAGAATATGTATGGTGGCAATATAAGGGTTAAGTTGGGAGTCAGGTCAAATCTAGGTAGTTTAGTGGGTTCCTTGGATCATTTGGTAAATTAAATGGAGGTGGCTGGTCAGACTGAACAGAGTAGACAGGCAGAACTATTGACAAATCTGTTTCTGTGGACTGGTTAATCAAGCTAAAATGGTCACAAAGCTTGAATTATATATATGCTCCCTTAGAGCAAAGCAAGACTGCTGCTGCAGTTGTGAAGGAGCTCCGTTACTGTTCACCCAATTCCCCCGTTTGTATTTTTATTGTCGTAGTGTTAATAGTAATTTAGGGGCAAATTCAATTTTAGGAATAATAACAAAAGAAGGACTTATTATTGGCAGTCATGCTACCTGTGACTGACTGGCATTGAGTTATACAATTTCAATAAAGTTTTGTTAAATTGTTAATAAATATGTTATATGTGATTAATATAGAATTTGTTTGTTTGTGCCTATTTTAGTTCAATTTGAACGACTACCACGGCTTAGCTCAATTAAAAACTGTTGTCTGTGTTTCAATGGTCTCTAATTTCTTTAGTTATAAATATTGCCTACCATACATATTTTCAAACTGAGATTATAGAAAGCTCAGATGGATTATCTCCATGTACTGGAATAAGCCCAAATTTCAATCTTACCTTAATGTGTTTATATGGTGGAGGTTTCTTATCATTTTTCTTTTCTTCCTGCAGTTGTCTCATTTCTTTCTGAGCTTTGAGTTCTTCAAATCTGTCTGCTGCCTCCATTAGACCTAGCAAGAAATCAAAGCCAATGGATATGTTTATATTCTCAAGCATTTATAAGAACAAAATAAATAAAAGCTTCACCTATAATCTATACCTTTCTTATATGTGGCATCCACTCCTTTACTCATTTTGTCTTTGTTTAGGGCATCTCCCTCCATATACGGGAAGACTCTTGCCTGATGGGTCCACAAATAGTCATTAGAGCCAAAAAATAGCACAGGGAACTCGCCGATGTCATGTTTCATCTTCTGAATGTTCACAGGAATGTTCTTGGGGTGACAGACCTCAGCTGGCCACCACCTGAAAATAAAGAGATTGTCAACATCAAGGAGGAATTTATATAGATTAGGGACAATTGCAGAAACAATGTATCTTATGCCAAACAGTATGAGAGCTCTTTACCTGTATCTCCCCACCTTCACCCACACAACCTCCTTGTAATGAGGCTTCTTCCCAGCTTTACAGTCGTTGCAGAACCAGCTGCCCTCGGGCATGTTAATGTTAAGACATTCACGGTGAAAAGCAGCGGGGCAGGATTCACAGCACAAAAGGCTTCCTCCTACCAATTAAAAAGAAACATTCAAGTTAAATCCAATTAATACATTAATAAAAACTATAACATCAAGTGACATGCTGCTTACTCACTACAAAGCGGTAATAACTCAGGATCTCTCTTTAAGCGTAAAAAAAGATTTTATATCCAAACCATTCAACACAAAGAGAGCTAATTACTTGAATCATTTGCTGATTATATGCATAATTACTCACATTGCACTGGATCCAGTACAAACATCTTAAGTAATGTGTTGTAATTTTTGTAAAGCATGGAATATGGACTGCATATTGTAACAAACATTACTATGACATCTAAAAGGCAATTGGCACATTTACAGGACAATATACTATGGTGAGAATTGCTGCAAATTCAAAGTAAAATGAAAGTTAATTTTACATTTAAGGCCATAACAAGCAAACTGAAAACACAACTAACAGGGAATTTAAAATGAAGGGGGGTGTGATGGAATGGACTGCCTGGCACCCTAACTGGGGGACTCCGCCAATCGTTGCTTCCTAGTAATCGAGTACTCCAAGCCCTCCACCAGACACCATCAGCACTGTAGTCCCTACTTCCAGCGTTACAGCTTGGTTGGGGTCTCGCTGTCCTCCACCCACCCTTGACCCAACACCAAGATCCAGCTTCCAGAGAGTGTAGCAATAAGTGATTATAATCCCATGGGAATATAGTCATATAGCAATCCCCAGAGTGATATAGCCGTATCCCCCACACATGAGATCAGACTATGTAGAGGGTAAGCAGGAATCCGTTTAATGGTAGCCACAACTGGACTTATATGCAGGTCATAATGCAAGGGGCACTCCCCCCCCCCTGGACCTGAGAGTAGACTACAGTAAAAACATACACACGATTACACTGGCTCTCAGGTCCAGGTCACTACCATACAAAACAGGTCAATCCCTCCCGTGTGCCTGGGAGATAATTGAGTCAGGAACTGAACTAACCCAATTATCTCCAGGAACAGAAAACATTTTAACAACCTCCCTAAAGCACCCCTAAAACACTTGGAAACCCCACAAAAGTCATATCCCCTGATAGCCCCGATATGGGGGACCAACATATCCAAAAATCACCCAGATTGCAGGGGTTCGGGAATTCCATGGAGGTCATAATTTAACAGACCGCACACGAAGCTCCTGCCCAAAACGCCAAACCGAACGCCACTGAGTTCATATAAATTCAACCGAGCATAACCGGAGGTGGAAGCGGTACGACCAAACACCGCTGTATGTATTTGCAGCTAAAGATGGCCGATGCCAACCACTTAGAACGTTGCAGTTAAAGATAAGTCAGGGAGGTTAATGGGCTGCACACTTCTGTTCTGGGTGGTCCAACTGTTCGGTAACTAAACAGAATAAGTACAATCCGCTTGGTAAGCCCCATATACCGAACCATAACAGGGAAAAGGCACAAACAAAGCCTTTCCACAGTCCTGAACCAAGGTTTAATACATGGGCCATAGTCCAGGGGCAAGAGGCTGGCAAGCAGGCCCCTCCAAGAACCAGTGGCGGGGTTACTTTCGCTACAGGGGATATTTTACAGCAGTAATCACATGAACGGTTTAGCATTTTTCCTAGTAGAGGCCAGGCCAATAATATGTAATATAGTAATCAGGGAGTTTTATCACACTAGCAGCTAGTGATCTCTCAAATCACACTGTTATTCTCTCCAGCAAGCAGCATCAGCAACACTCACAGTAATGCTCCCATGTAACCTGACTTGCTGCTGGTTGGTGAGATCAGGGACAAACGGAAAGGCAAGGGGACAGATTTAAAGCTTGTTTCAGCCTTATTGGGCACAGCACAATCAGAGAACCAATCCAAACACTACAAGACATTGTTCCGAGAAACTGCCAGCTTGCTGTAGAAGTGCTTTAGGCTGTGCTGTCGGGTAAAGAGTGCTATAATGTATTACGTTACAGAGCTATTTGCACTCTGACAGTTCTGATTTTTAGAACAGACTGTCAGGGTGAAGGTATGATCATCATGGGATCCATGTAAATAACACAGCGAGAAGAGGTGAAGGACTACTGCAAGCCACGCCATTTGACATGCAGGTAGCTAGCCCTTCAAGCCCATTTTGGGCAAGTGAGCCTTATGAGGTTGGCAGTCAATGGATTAAATACAAGAGGAAAAATTAAGGCCACAGTCAAAAGTTACAAAAGATTACAGTGATTCAATATATTCAATGGTAAAGGTTATCGGCAACTACATGTATCTAGTTTCCCATACCATTGCACTCTATGTGGCACACAGTCAAACCAGCTTACCTTCAGAGCACACAAAACACCAGCTGACGTTGACGTGTTCATGGTTCTTACAGCCACGACGAGGTGTGAAGTGGTTAGGGCAAATAATACTGTTAGATGCCAACGTAACGGTCCCTGCTGCCATGCAAAAATCATTGGCATGATATGCAACCGGACAGCGCACACATCTCATCAGGCGGCCTGTTACAAAGTGAGAGTTTAGTCAGCTTACCAACTTGGCTTCATACAAATGACACACATTATTCAAAGGCCAGTACAGAAATGTTTTAAGCTCATTTGTTTCTGGTAAACCAGTATTGAAGCTTGACCCATGTGCTAATGCAACACTCCAGACACAAAGCACTTAAAGGACCAATATAGTGCCAGGAAAACACTAGTTTTTCTCTGAAACTGCTATGTTTATAAAAAAAAAAAAAAAAAAGGGTTAACCCTAGCTGGACCAGGCACCCAGACCACTTCATTAAGCTGAAGTGGTCTGGGTGCCTATAGTGGTCCTTTAAGCTTTTCTAACACGGGACAGGGTTTTTTTCTTACCCACTTCAATTAACCCATAAGGTCCACAGACTTTATGGAACTTGCAGGATCGCTAACCGCTTGTATTACAGCTCACTGGGAAGCACTGGACCGAGTCTTCTTAGTGAAAGTCTGTGCCTGGAATACACATGATGACTTGCAAAGGCTGCAGTTTTTGCAAGCTACTTTTTCCATATACCTCACAGACAACATGCAGAAAAAAAAAAAAAATACATACATGTCTTCATTGGGGGTACATCTACTAGTTTAAAAAAAAAAAACGAACAAACCACAATGGTATGTGTTCCTTTAAGAACCACTGATCAAACTTAAAGGAACACTATAGAGTCAGGAACACAAACATGTATTCCTGACCCTATAGTGTCAAACCCACCAATTAGATGGCTTGGCCCCCCCTCCTCCCCCCAGCCCCCTTAAAAGTAATTAAAACTCCCCTTATTTCCAGCGCCGCGCGGATCTGCCGGCGTCGGCCACGTCCCCGATCCACCTCCTTGATATCTTCAGAATTGCCAATTTTTAGCAAAAGGGAAAGCATTGGATTGGCTAAAATCAGCAAGGGGTTGGGATGGGGATGGCCAATCAGCACTTCTTTATAGAGATGCATTGAATCAATACATCTCTATGAGGAAAATGCAGTGTCCCCATGCAGACGCTGAAAGGGAGTGCTGCCTACTGTGCAGCACTGCCACAGGTAGCACCTCCAGTGGCCATCTGAGGAGTGGCCACATTGAGGTGTCCCTAGGGGCAGTGTAAACACTGCTTTTCCCCTGAAGAGGCAGTGTTTGCATGAGAATGCCTAAAGGCAATGATTACATTCACCAGACCAATTGCAGTAAGCTGTAGTTGTTCTGGTGACTATAGTGTCCCTTTAAATATGTGCTAGCGAATTTGCAAGACTGACTGTACGGCATTTAAAAAAAAATAGTCATTCTGAAGATTACCAGTACATTTCAAAGTGCAGATTCATTTATGGGTTACCACACATGTTTTAGGTCTGGCTTTTCACTTGTGTGGATGGTGTATTATACCTATAATAGTAATATAAGGTCTGAGTTCTCAAAAACTAACCTTTAGAGGCAGATGGGTTGCTGGGGTTGGTGGCATGGCAAGTCGTGCAGATATGCAGAGAGCAGCGGACACCTTTATTATGCTGAATAGCCGGAGGGTATTTAATAGCACATTCTTCATGATAATACTTTCCACACAGGGAGACCAGGCATCGTTTCACTGTCTGATCAGAGGCCTTGCACACAAAGCAGGTGTGGACACCTGAATTGAGAGATAAAGACACTGACGCGCGAAGGTCTCCTAAATATTAGCATTCTTTTAAAAGCCGTATAAATAGGTATTTAGTAATAAAAAACAAAACATAAAGCAGTGTTTGTTAAAAAGGAACACGATAGGCATTAAAAGAACTTTAAAGAAGCAGTTTTGGTGTATACATCATGTCCATGCAGTCTCACTGCTCAGTTCTTCTTCCTGCATAGACTAATGTCCATGAAGATATTCAATGTATATCTCTACGAGGAATTACTGATCGGAGTAGTGCAGTCATTTTCTGCACACATGCACTAGCCTCTCTTCCCTATGGGGAAACACTGGATTGGATTGGCTGTGATCAGGATTATCTCAGGCAGGAGCTGGGACTGACAGCACAGAGAGGCAACAAGGGCTACAAGGTGAGTAAATCTTGTTTTTTTTTTTTACAGCTCATGCGGACGTGCCCATCTAAATAGTTACAATACTAACGCTAGTGTGTTACTTTAAGCAGTAATGTAACTTTTAAAAAGGTAACGTAGATAAAGTATATAACTAATTTACTGTGTGAAAGAGTAAGTGGTCCGTTTGCTAAAACAAGAATTTTACTAAAAATTCCCAGTACACAGTTGATTCAGAGCTTACGTGATTTGAATGCCTAAATATTTATGGCAGTAAATATTCCTAGAAACACACAATTCTTGACTCCTGCTGTTAGAATTACATTATCATGTGTAGCCTGCATGTCTAGAAGCCAAAGACACTATAATGGATCTATATGAAAGAAATATGAGTACAGATGAGACTTACTACAGTTTTGAGCAAGGAATTTAGTGAATTGATGAATGCTAGTTCAGCTACAGTAACCCTACTTCATACCTGAAGAGCACTCTCGACAGATAAACTTTCCCTCTGGCATGGAGTCCATGCCAAGACACTCCAAGTGAAATGCACCACAGCACTGTGACTCACAGAGCAGGAGCTCCCCTGGCTTCTCACATACCTAAACAGAAAAAGAGGAGTAAAGGCAAATGTAGAAAATGGATTGATTTCATTGGGAAAAGTGGAGAATTCCATTAAATGCTGGAGGGCCAACTTTGAAACCCCTGCTCTACACTGTTAGGCAGTTCTACAGCCTGCAATACACGTTCTAGATTTCTATTTCGGTATGTAAAATGAGACTGCCATACTGACCAATGTTAAAATTGGTAGAACATTAAACTTCACACAAACAGTTCACTATAGCCTAGAGTGAAGGTAAAAATAGGATTTGGGGTATTACCTGACACACATTCTCCTTCATAGCAGCTCCCCCGCCACGCTCAGATGAGATTTTCTTTGATAAGGGACCCCCATGCTCATGTTCTAGTCCATCATCTGCTGTGTCACTTGGGCTTGCCACCCCATTCTCATGCAGCTCCATCTGCAAAAAAAACATATCAGTACTGTTACATCTTTTCTTATGATACATAGAGTTGGCTGAGCGATTGCCATTGTAAAAAAACTTCAGGTGTGTTTGCATGTGATACATTGTTCTTTTCCCAAAGTAAATCAGACAGACATTTTTAATCTTTCCTCTATTTCAAATAAAACAAAACAGTATCAAATGATTAACATATTACTTACAACAGTGTGGCCAAAAGGCATGTCCCCAGCTGAATTACATATTCCATTGTGCTTTGCCAGCCTAAAAGAGACACTATAGGCACCCATACCACTTCATCTCATTGAAGTGTTATGGGTGCAGTGTCCCTGTCCCCTTAACCATGCTGAAAACACTGCAGTTTATGAGTAACTGCAATGTTTTCATTGCAGGGCTCAGAATGTCTCTAGTGGTTGTCTCCACTAGAGGTGCTTCCTGCTGTTTTACAGATTAACTTTTTATTTTTTACTCTTAGAAGGAGGACTTCCAGCATTTTCAACACCCCCATAAGAAAGCATCAATGCAATGCTTTTCTATGGGGAAGATCTAATGCACGCGCTTCATTTGTCACGCAAACACATTAGGTTCCCATTAGCAAGGACGTCGGGCAAGGAGGAGCCAGCGTCGAGGAAACTCATCGCTACAATAATGCAATTGGAAAAAGGGTTTTTATCTGTATATGAAATTTCCTTATAATAACCACACTAATATCTCCAAAAATTGACTCTCTGTGGCAGACAATAGTGTGTGTATACCTTGGATTTTTTTCTTTCCATGGTATCTTTGGCTTTTGTCTTTAGTATCAATTAAATATATTGTGGAGGTTATGGAGAACATAGTCTATATGTGTTTGTTTTTTAATGGATGATAAAACCAATGCCCTATTGGAAAATCCAAAGTGGTCATGATGCAGCCAGTACCCCTTTTAAAAAAGAAAATTTAAATAACTACACCACCATTTGAAACTATACTCACTAAAAATATATACATTTAGAATAAACAAAGCTGAAAGAAAATAATTTCAGTGTCCCCCACTTCTAAACAGGCAAAACAAGCATGGACTTACCTGTAATCCCCGTTTGATGTCACGGTCTCCCTCTCTATAGTCTAATTAGATTAGACCGTTTTTACCAGCTCAGAGCATATGCGCTCACTCTGAGCAGGGGAGGACAGGGAGTGAGTGAATTATAAAAATTTTATAAAATAGTTGGCTGTTAAAGGAGGGAGGCCACCCACAAACCAGGGTGAAAAAAAAAAAAAAATGTCTAGTTAGATTTTTTTTTAAACAAATACTATAAGGGGATGTAAATGTTAAATCCTATAAATGTGTGTTTTTAAAACAAAAATGTTTTATTACATACATGTTGTGTGTGCGCTTGTGATGTGAAAAAAACAAACCAAACATGAAACCCTCAAATCTGCAGAGTTTATAATTCCTATTCATATCGCTGTAATAATGGCCATGATCTGCAAATCAAATGGAGTCTTTGCTGCAGTAATCGAAACAGACACTGGGTGGTTTAATAAATAGAAAAGCTGAATAATAACAGATGTATTCCATTGCTTTAAAAACAGTGCCAAAACATCCAAAACCAGCTCTTCGTTGTTTAAATCATCATCCATATAGAAATATTTGCACTAATATCTGTCACATTTAATTCTTAAATTGTTATTTTTTATCTTAACAGATAAGTGTATGAACATGGGCAGATTTTGATATAACAAAGTGAACTCGTGTTCCAACTCGCCTAAATTTTCATATTGGCTATGTGTGGCCTAAATTGAAATTAACTTTTAATTTTTGGCAATTCACTAAGAATGGGCAGGTCTACATGCGAGTGATGGACATACATTCTGAGAATTCAAAAAAATTCAAAAAAATATTCCCAATATTGGAGTTTATCATCACACGGGTGATTCCGAACTAAAATAGTGAAGTTAGTGATGATTGTACAGCTGGGTATGGCAAACCTAAATTGTAGAATGATGAAAATACCGCTCATCGATGATATTAGGGGAGGAGCCAAGCAACTGACCTGACTGGCTGCATTCCGCATGAGTTCTGCACAAAACAAGCATTCCGGGCCCGCAATCACAGCCCCAACCTGGCGAAACCGGCACCAAACTGACCCACGGACCGCTGCCACCGACATGGGCCAAAAAACAAAAAAGCCCAAGTCCGACAAACTGCGGCAAAACCTAAATATCGGTGACCTCTGGAGACAACCGCTCAGCGCCCAGGGCCCAAACATGGCCGCCTATAATGACGAATGCTCTGATGTCTCCGACTACTTTACAACAGAGGTGGAAGTGGAGCACTCACCTGCCGTGATGGCACCTCTCCAGACTCCTCTCCGGTGACCACTGTCATGAAGGAACTACTAGTGGGGCTCCAACTCACAGTACAGGCCGACAACGGCCCAACTTCGTAAGGACCTGTATGGTCTGACAGGCCGTCTGGGTACACTGGAGGCTGACTCTCGTCAAAACACACAACAAAACTCCTGCATGATCAACGCTTTGCGGCACTGGAGGATCAGAGACGCAGTCTGAACGTCAAGATCTGAGGTATCGGAGAAGAGATACCGGAGGCCAAGCTGCCACATGTGATACGGCGACTTCTGCAGGCCCTCCTATCTCCCAAGCCAGCCAGGCAAGTGCCTATAGAGTGAATGTTTTGGTTACCACGAGCAACCAAGGCCCCAACAATGGCACCGCAAGATCTCCTGCTATGCTTCCAAAACCAAGGGGACAAAGCAGCAGTGATACAAGTCACACGGAACCGCTCACCCTACCTATTTGAAAACACGCAGCTCTCTTTTTATGCAGACCTATCCGGGTCCACTCTGGCATGGCGACGCTCGCTCCAGTCCTTCACGGCTCTCCTGCTCCAGCACAATGTCCAATACAACTGCAGAGGGTCTTGAACACTGCCTCTAACATCTGGGACATGCAGGGGGCAAAAGAACTGCTGCCTACCCTGGGACTTCAAATGGACTCCATGCCCCTCACAGAAAAAAACATCACACCAGCACAATCCTCCACCTGGGATGCCGCAAAAGTGGCCCCATTCGTTCCCAGACGGGCCGACACAGCGGCTCACGCAGCGGCCACAACCTGATGCAGCCACAAGTGCCGACCTGCTTCCAGACCTCCGGTTCTTAGCAGAGCCAATCCTCTCACTGTTTAAACTTGAATGCATGTTAAGGTGTTTTTGAGGTTTCTTCTCTTTAGGCACCCTCACTACAGCTAGCCACCCACGGCACCACCACGCCAAACACTTTATAGCTGCCTTAAACTCTCCCCCCCATATTCTACCACCCCTGGGGTAACTTAAGCAGCATTAGACTGGGGTACTACAGTTTCAACCTCTGACCAAACCCAGAAAGACCTGGTACATTACCTACCAGCTTACCCAACAAATACGCTTCGCCCCAACGGAAGTTATTTAAGTTATTGTATTTTATCGTATATTTTATTTCAAAGGTTCAATGTCCTTGCATTAGGCTCCGAACTACAGAGCAACGCAAGTTTCAGTTTAGCCTACTTTGCATCATAGTTCAGTTCCTACCTAACCATGACTGTCCTAGTGCAGGTCTTAATAGATCAATATTAAGCAACGTGTCCAAGCTCAATCGCCAATCTATGAGTTTCAAATGTTTTAGCCTGTCACACAGTCTTGTCCACTATGCAGTATCGACTTGATATGATGTCACCATTTATAGGCATAGATGCTTATGCACTGATCAACTATAGCCTATAGGCTATAGCTGGATGTGCATGCTCAGCATGTACACTCGATCAGTTAATAGATTTGTCTCTACATACGTTCACGAAAAAAAAAAAAAAATGGTGCAGTTCTCATGTAGCCACGACACTGTATTTACCTATGTTCTTGCAATACGCCTGTTCATGCCGTCGTGGCATCACAGGCCTGTATGTTATATTTTGCACTAAGTAAATAAAAATAAAAATAAAAAAATACCGCTCATCCCAAAGTCCTTGACGAAAAGCATTATGTCCGCTTCGGAATAAAAGCAAAGCCACCTTTCAGGCATAAGAGAATAAGCAAAGGCCGCACATCTTCAACATGAAAGTGTTGCTTATTGGCGAAAGTGTGACTGAGGATCTAGGACTCTGATGATGCAATAAATAGTAAAAATAAGCTGCAGAGTAGCTCAATGTATGTATTGCTAATTAGGACAAATAGGAAACAGGATCTAAATGGGTGCACTGCTCAGGCAACTTTCGGAGTCCACGCATGTCACATACCAGGTCCACTAAAGATGAATACAAATAAAATCTACTAAGATTTTCTAAAATTAAATTTCAATGCATTTTATACAAGGTGTCTCAACTTGTGTTGCAAACGGTCACCTACTTGCACTGATGATGAGAGAAGAGGATGTTGATGGATCATATTATTACCTCGGAACACAGAGCTTCACGGGAAACCACACGTTTCTTCTGGAATTTCCCCGGCAGCCTCAAACGCTTACGTTTCCTGCGATTCTCGGACAACCTTTTGGATCCTGAAGCAAATGATGGATGCTTAGAACCATTCACAAAACAGCCCATGTCAGTCTTTATGCCATTAATGCCAATAAGTCACTTTATGCAATTAAAGTCAATACTTTTTAGTTTTCTTGTGTGTTTATGAAATAGGCAACGCCAAATGAATTAGGGATTGAAGTTTAATTTACAGAGCAGGAGATAAAAACTTCGAAAGCAAATTAACATCTGATTGAAAAAGAAAACCATTCTGTTTTCATGCAGGCTGTGTGGCTAGGGCTGCATAAACAGAAAAAAACGTGATTGAACTCCTAAAAGGCAGAGAATTTAGCAGTGAAACTGCAGGGGCATGATCTATACACTAAAACTGCTTCATTAAGCTAAAGTTGTTTTAGTGCGTCTAATAACCATTTAAGCCTAGTCAAATTGCTTGTCAATAATGACATGACAGCTACCAGTTGATATGAACTTCACGGCTTATATGGGATATTGTGCTTGCTTTTCTAAGCAATCACAACATTGAACATGTAAATGTACTTGCAAGTTTTTCCCAAACACGGAGGACAAATTGTAAGAAATAGATTAAGTTCCTTTGCACATTGGGATGTCAGATCTATTTCAGATCAATACCTACCTCCTCTGAACCTGAAACGCTTGAGGGGATTTTTCTTGTAAGGAACAGGATCTGAAATCTGCAAAATAAAAGATTAGTGGATAACCTTAAAACCTTATATCATTTTATTATAAACAGGTTTTTTTTATGGACACTGTAACATTGATCAATACAACAGAGGTCATAGATATATATATGCCCAATCAAAAGCCTCACATTAACAGTTTGAACATTCCTACTCCTATGGCATAGTAATAGAGTGCTCACTAAATAATACTAGGTTGTTTGCCCCGTGTAGGTACCAGATGATATTTTTAGAGTGTGTGGATTTGACTTTAAAAACAAGAAAGGCACCTTCCTACTGCTTTCTGTCAAAGCACGAGAGAAGTTTGACCAAAAAAAAAAAAAACTGGTCTTTCCTTGCACCCAAAGCCCTGACCCTCACATTATCCATCGAAAACTGAATGGAAGTGACAGGCTTTAAACACCGGACAAACCCACCAACCAGCACTCTCAGCCGATCACTTTCAGCCAAGGCTTTGAATAAACAATACGGAAGTGAATGTTTGCATTATTGGGAAGGTATGCAAGAGGCTGGGCTTTAAATCCAGGCAAAGCAGGTTTTTTCTTGTCAAATTGTCCAAATGGTTTCACAGGAACTATACTGCATCATAATCACAATTATAATTATGACAGACTGTTGCATGCACTGCAAAGATCCCAAAGAACAGGTCTTTTATAATTCTGTAAATTAATACGCAGACCTGGTCATATTACTTTCCTAAGGAGAAAAAAAATAAATATATATTATTATATAGTATATTTAATTATTAAAGCAGGGGTTAATTTGGTTTTATTTAAATGAGGACACATAAAAACACTTACAGATCTTCATAGATTACTACTTCCTACTTCCACTATTGCCCTTTATAAAAAAAAAACAAAAAAAAACAAACAATTACCTTAGCTACTGGTGGCAAGGATTCCTCCTCATCAAAACCAAGTTGAGCTTCAAGGTCATCAAACTCACAAACTCTTGGAATAAGTTTGCTTTTGCGTCTATTTCCACCTGATATTTTACAGAGAATGTATGAGGATCAGATTACATTTTGTATTTTTAAGCAAATAAATTAAGGCATTCGAGCATTATTAAATTAAAAAGTGTGCTGTACGTAATAAGTTTGCTTTTCTGAATGAGGATCTGCACATTGAACGTTCAATTCCTCATGCAATAAGTGAGGATGTCGTACATCAAAGACAGAGTCTGACTCTGTTCTAGGCGAGGAAGCACCATTTAGAGGATGTTAATTTATCAGCCACTAGAAGTGTGTTGATCCCCTGTGATATAAAACTTGCAGTATCTCTAAAAAACTGCAATGTTTTACACTGCGTAAGTCAAATACCAAAAAGCACTGCACACAAACCACTTCATTGAGATAAAGAGGTCTGGATGCCTACAGTGCCCCTTCAAACACAGATATATACTAGAGTGCCTTGCAGACTGCAATGCTGGCGCAATAATGAGTATAAGTTACAAAATAACATAGTATTAAATAAAGATTGTAATTTAGCTAATATTTTTACATTTATTTTGGAACCATGCAAAAAACAAACTATATAAAAACAAACTATTTTAGGATAACCCTAAATGGTTTTCAAGTTCCTATATTAGCAAGACACGATAGGGCAAGGATAATCATTCTGTCTAATTTCAACGCTCAAAATCATTTAAACATAAATGCTGCCATCGGTGGGAAACTGATGATCCTAATAGCTTGGGTCATTAATCGAACAACGTGTGTACAAAGCAGCAGTAAATATTAGTCTAAATTAGTGCAAATAAAATGCCAAGTTATTTTTCTAAATGCCTTTAACAAATTTGCACAATATCAAGGTAAACATTTCTCATCACCCTTTTCTCCTAGAATCTTATCTAAGGACACTCACCGAAACAGTAAAGCCTCCTGCACGTGGCCATTTTAAAATATTGGGGGTATGCACAATATACATTATGAAGCAATAGCAAATCTAAATTGCGGATCCTAAATAGTGATTTTAACACTATACAGTCAGGAATATGATTGCATTCCTGACCCTATAGTGTTCCTTTAAGTTTGGAACACTAATGTGTCTGCACTTCATGCAAAAAAAACTATTATAACTAAAAACTCTGCTACATAAAATTGAAGTATGCTGCTAGAACAATAACACAAAATAATGATGTGTACCTGGTTTGGGCTCTGGAGATTCTTCTGTTACATTATTTGACTCAGATTTATCCAAATTAGTACTGGAGGGAGGAGTATTCTTCACATCAGACAGATCATTGGCTGCTGGTTTCTGAGAAGTAATTTTACCTGAACATGGTTCAGACAGTACCACAGATGAAGATGAAGCAATAGCCCCGTCCCCATACTCAAACTGTTGATCTGTCTTTGCTTTTTTCTGCTCACAGACATCAGACTGATTGAAGAAAAAGAAAAAAAGTGTGAGCTCACACATCACCTGCTACCAACTATACTGTACTCAACACATTCATTGCACTGTGCACAGGGACTGGACCATACAGAATACGAAAATCTTAATCTCACAATGTACAATAAACTGGCTATTAACGTTGTTGATTTCACCAAATCACATTTCAAAACGTAGGGAGAATGCCATCTTAGAATGAGTGCGGTTAGCAATGAGTGAATTTAGGGTTATATGAGGCCAAAGCCTATTGTGCAAGCATCTACTAGGGAGTATGAGCTGGTGTGCAGAAATGGGGGGAGGTAGATTAGCTGTTGTGCAGGAGGGGAGGGGGGTAGATAGGCTGTTGTGTGGGAGTGGGGGAATAGGTGATATGGTTTGTGGTTTGATCAGCTGGGAGTCAGAGTAAGAGCTGGAAAAACACACTGCCACCTCCAAACCTCCAAGGCTGCCTTAAAATATTCTGGGATAACATGCTAAGAGTGAATCTTCACTCTCACTAAAACTCCCATGTCTGGACAGTAATATACTGCTAAACCACACTCTCTTACATCCCTGCCTTGAGCTGTGCTCTGCACAAGGGGGCTCACAGCAGGGAGTGGTAAGTACTGCGTGTTATCCAAATATCGTTTGCCTTGAAGACACATTCTGATTATACAGCACATATCTGCTTTACCAATTAGTATTTCTTAAAACAACCACATGTTGGTGCAAACTGGCATATTGTTATGCTGCTGCCTGCTTTCTTACAGGTTTAACATACCGGTAAGTGCAATTATGTTTTTTTATTTTACTGTAATTGGTGTATATTTTCTGCATTATTTATATATTTCACATTGTATTAAATACCATACTATAAGTGCTTTTGTATTTGTTCTCTCTCTCTCTCTCTCTCTCTATATAGTATTAAACACACACACACACACACACACACATCATCTGAGAGTGTTTTACTCTTGCTGAAATAGAATGCCAGGGTGCTTTAGATTGCAGGGTACCGTTTTAATAATAATAATAATAATAATAATAATAATAATAATAATATCCTTCACAATGCTTCTTTAAGCACAAAAATGTACATGTATGATGACTGCAACACTCCATCAAATGATTCTCACAAAGCAGCATTGAATCCAAAGTTTCAAGATGCATTAGAGGACATTAGAAAATCCACATGCAATGTTTGAGGACTTGCATGTCAAAGAACCAAATCTGACTCGGTTGTGAGAACAGAAGCACCATCTAGTGGCTCTCAGGGAGATAGCCATTAGAGGTGTGCTTATCCCAGCTATGAGAACATTGCAGTGTGATAGAAATGGAGGCTCCCCCAGATATGTGCCTCTTATTATGTCCATACTGTTATTGGGCATGTTACATTTCTGCAACAGCAACATTTATTTGCTGAGCGCCTCAGTCATTAAATGTCCTCCAAACGTGGAGAAAAACTTATGGTGCCAATCTTATGGATTTCAGTCCCTGTGTCACGGTGGAGATCTGGATACAGCCCTTGAGTGTGTAGCAATACGTTCCTTATCTGGTACAGTGAGCAATTCAATGCCATTCAAATTTCAGTATTACACCCATCAATGTTACAAACATGAGTTTTTAAAGAAAACAGAACATAAACACAAACCACTTTATCCTTTACATAATGGAAGAGACTTGTGTGAAGAAAATAGCATGTTATTCGAGACTTTTATTGCCATTTGGGACTTTTTATGTTTTATTGGTTCGGTAGCTGTAACTACCGAACACCGACCACCCCCCGGCTCATTTTCTTCAAACGCCACGTGTGAGAGAAAACAGTGGCCATCTTGTTTGCACGAAAGGAAGCAGCAGGACTTGGTCGTCGAGTGTCTGGAACTAAAATCTGACACTCGACTTCCGAACACCGGTCAAACCATACGAACGCCTGCTTCCTTTTCCCGAACAGCCAGGAGAGCACTGTTCGGTAGTTTGGTTCCCACGAACCAGGAGAACAATCGCTACTATGAGCCGGGGGCTCCGTTCGTGCATTTATTTGTTTTTATGACTTTTCAATATAGACCGACTGCACAGCCTAAACTAATGGAATGGTTTCTGGAGAGAGCCTTGTGTGCGGTTGGTCAAATGGGATTTTCATAAAATTTGAAAACCCCTGAACTGATCTGGGTGATTTTTGGATATGTTGGTCAACCAGATCAGGGATATCAGGGGATGTGACGTTTATGGGGATACTATGTGTTTTAGAGTACTTTTCAAGTTTTGGGAAAATATGTTTTTACTGGAGATAATTGAATTATTAGGTTAGCTGACTCAATTATCTCACAGGCAGAGAGGAGGGGTTTGTCGGTTTGCATTGGGAGTGTTCATCTTTGTCACTGCAATACTATTGGCAGTAAGCTTTGTGTCCCTGTCCCCCACAAGGTCCATGTGGGAGTGCCCCTTGCATGGGGACTTGCATAAAAGCCAGTGTGGCACCATTAAAATTCATTCCTGTTGTAACCTTCATGAAGTCTAGGCTCATGTTTGGGTAACTGTCTACTTGCTGGGGAGAAACTACTTGGAGGCTGCATTTGTCTGAAACTATTCGTATCTACACCAAAACTGCAGCTATATTCACTCAGGCTCAGCAGTTAAGGAGTAATAGGCGAACAGGGTATCTACTATACCAATGTTCGTAACAACTTGTTTCTATACTTTCTGTTCCTCCCAAGAGTTTTTCTATCAGTCTAGCTGTATAGGAGTGCATCTGAACCCAGCACACCTGCAGAGAGTCACCCAGCTGCTTGTGAGGTCGTTTTCTGGGGCCTCTGGATTTCACACGATCATTGGCATGCTTCCCAAATCTCTGCCTTGGCTTCCTTCGACATTTCTTGCCCAAATTTGTTCCTAAGAAAGAAGAGCAAAAATGCACGATTGCACCGTGAATTCAACTAATAAAACAAGTTAACTATCAAAACGGTTTGCAAAGTCAGAGGATAAACAATCCTAATTAATTTCCTAAGACATTCCATAAAAAGAATTCTTTAAAGGAGTCTGGGCAAAAATAAACAAATGATTTATTATTCTGAATAGCAGGGTAGAGCAGTTATAGGATAGTTCACTTGGAAATATAGATTTTCTTTATTTTGTAACACATGAAACAAATATAATCGCAAGAGCAGTAAATGAAAGAAAGAAAATAAACAAAACACACACATAATCTTGATTTACAGATAAAGGAGCATAGACATTTATCCAAAATTAACAATGTATGACATACAATGCACTAATCTACAACGCTATATTGGTGTGTATGTGATGGATAGGCAAGTACAAATAATTTGTGTACAAAAGCATTCCAATATTTATTCACTAAACAATTCAAAAAACGAATTGCAAAAACCTATGCAAATAGAACCAATTAGGAAAAAGGCTCCAAACAGCTATAATGACAGCTTGACTTCTTGGGATCCCACTAGACAACAGAAAACCAACACTGGGTAAAATAGTGCTATATCAACCTAAACCGGGAAATAACAGCACCTGAGACACCAACTACAGTTTTACTACTGTACTCAACATTAAAGCACAACAATTTTTTTTATGTGGATTTCAATTTGAAATGCAGCTACCAGTATAAAAAGGAGGAAAGAATAAATGAGAAGCAACATCCTGAAATCAGTATAGAAAAGCTGCTTCTAGCAGCAAAGCAGCGCTATGGCACGCATGAGCAATAACCTCCCAGAGCTTTGGATTGGCTGAGATCATTAATATTGATGCTCTCAGCCAAGGAGGCGAGCAGCAAGACCAGAGCAGAGACGGAAGAAAGTTAAGTGAAACTCTCCTTTCAAATCCTCACAGATGGGTGGTGGTGGGTGTGGGTGTGTTTGAGCGGGACGTCTAAATAGGTAGGGGAACAATATAGCCTTAGGAATAAAATGTTTGTATTCCCTATGGTATGGCGTTCTTTTAAAGGGTTACATAAGGAGTCTCCCTATATTACACCAATGTTCTCCTACTCCTTTCAAATGTATTCATTTTTTTTAATTGTATTAATTTCAAACACATACAGAAAGTACATCAAACCATGTATTGGCAAGATATCATATCAAATATTATGTTATATAAATAGCCGTCATAAAGTCAATAAATGTATTTTAGCCATCTATAGTGGATATCTGTGTAATATTTTGTAGGAAACAATTCCAAAGCATGTTTACTCCAGCATTACAAATAATTCCAGTATTTCCTGGGCCCACTTTACTTACCCCAAATTCTGTAAATAAAGAGTAAGCTTGCTTGTAATCTAAAAGGGAGATATTCCCTAGGGGCAGGTGTGCTCTGCCCACAAGAGATCATCAGCACTAATGAACACCTGGCCAATCCAATGTTTCTCAGAGAGACACAAGGTGTATGCTCAGCAACTAAAATTGTATGCCCAGTTTTTGGGATGTATATCAATAAACATGTAGACAACACTGTGCATACCACAAGGAGCATGCAGCAGCCGAACAGTTTGAAATGACATGACACTATGGGATTTATTCACTGGTAAATTGCAATATGGCGACCAAACCATGATGGGAATCTCAGTTCAGCACAGTTAAGAGACTGTTCTTTATTTACTTTGTTGCTACACTCATAGGTTTAGGTGCCTTTAGTATCCCTTTAATTTTGCCTCCAATTTTTTCTTAGTTGGAGTGCCAATTCTGGAGGATATTGACAAAATGCTCGTGACATTTACACATACATTAAAACATGAAATGCATACTATTCTCATCCCTCACAAGATGACCCCCCCAACCCCCCCCCCTTTTTTTTTTTTAAGGGGGGGGTGGAGGGTGGGCAACAAGGTGCGAATAATAACAAATTCTTACCTCTCCTTGGAGGCTTTGGCTGCACTGCTGAGCATTCAGGTTCTGGAGGTGTTACATTGATCTCCCCTTGTTCAGACACTACCTCTCCCTGAGCAGAGGTGTTAAATTTAGTCATTTGACAGACTTTGCTAGATGAACTATTTAAGCTATTTTCTGGTTCTTGTTGATTAAATTTTTTCCAACGCTTTTTGGGTGCAACACAATTCATATCTTCCGATTCATCCCACACAGACAACTCATTGCTTAATTCTGATTCTTGTGCACAATCTTCATTGAGGCTTGCAAGCATGTCACTGCTACTGTGCTGCTGAAACAGTGCTTTGCGCGCCTCAGGTGACTCAGCAGGTGAGAATGCAACAGTATCACATGATGGATTCCCTAAATGATCTTTTATTAGTTTGTCTTCATGAGGCGGTGGACTAACATCCACTGGCTTCCTGTTTATGCACCCTGGAGAAATCACAGTGCCCTTATGTGGAGAAGAAAGGCTCTCACCAGTATTTAAGTTTTCTGTCTCTGAAATTCTCCTCTTCTGTAAAATGCTGGGTTTTATAAATTTTGTGCTCCTACGAGTAGGTGTTTGAGTTTCATCTTTTAGGTCAGCATTATTAGGAATATTGGTTTCTTTTGAAACGTTTGTGGAGCAATTGGACTTTTGTGTTCCCACCTGACAGAAGGAAACTTCATTCTTAATGGCACTGACATGGTAATCTTCTTCATTTTCGGACGTCTGCAGACCACCACTAGAGGGTGAATGCTTGCTGGTAACATTTGGTGTGCATTCAGAGGAGTCTTCGTGTGTTGGGCTACTGAACGATGATGAACTTTGGCCTGTCATCAGGTGATTTTCCTTTGTCTTCGTATCATGCATGTCTTTCAACATCATCAATAAACTGCTGAATTTATAATCTGGTGCCATTTTTATTCTACTCTGTCCTGGAGAAGATTGAAACTGATCGGATACGTCTGAAGACTTGCTTTCGGTTTTTTTCTTACTGGATGCCCTACTAGTAAGTTCTTTGAGTCCACAAATAACATTTTTTACTGCAGATGATTCCATCTCTCTAGACTTACGGGGCTTTTCATGTGCATTATTTAACAATTTCTTTTTTTCAATTTTGCTGGGAAGTAGCTTTGGAGACCTATGAATGGTTTTGGAATCAATAACGCAGTTTTTGAATTTATGACTTTCAGAAGATTGTTCACTCTTTATAGAAGCTTTGTCTTCAGTGTGCAAAGAAATGGTCTCATTTTCTACATATTTTTGACCAAGGCTGGAAGCATTTTGAAGCTTGCCACATGAACCGGATAGGGAGAAACTTTGTTCTTTTGAACTGCGTTCATTACATAGTGCAATGTCATTACTATGTACACTTGAAATGTCTCTAATGTTGCTATCGGAACAAAGTACATCCTCACTAGGCAATGCCACATCTTCGCTGCTACCTTGAGAAGTTGCTGCAGATTTAGCACGTCTCTTGCTAGCGCTTAAGGGACGGGATTTGGTGAGATTTCTTGACCGTTTCTTGTTCTTACATACACTCATAGATAAATTTCCTTGAGAACTGCCACATTGTTTTCTAGGCTTTTTTGGAAGCCTTTCTTTAACAAAGGACAAAACAGACTTTAAAGGACCAGTTTGAGAATCCATCTGCTCATTATCACATTGAGTTTTTCTCTGCTCTAAAGTCACATGATAATCCTCATCACCAGCATTTTTGTCCCATTCTTCAGAAGAAAGACTGGAAAGCAAATCTGCAATAGGTGTGCTGTGGGAGGACTCCTTATTAATGCCAAAAGGCTCATTCAGTTCTTCACTTATGGCATCATTTTCCCTCTGGGATGGTGCCATTGCAGTGTTGACATCCTTAATTTCATTGCTCCAAAATTCAGGAGAGACAGAGCCCCGAGATACGACTTCGTCGTCTGAAACACGTACACTCTTAGACGTACGTTTTTTACTTGGCCTAGAATGCTTGCTTGCCTTTTTACTCACATATTTTAATTTAGTAAAAGATGGCAGATCAGAGGTATGCAGAGAATTCACACAACCATTCAAGACATTGCTTGCTGTTCCATTGGATTCCTTCACACCATATTTTGAATGTTGGTTTATTTGGACTTCATTCTGTCCAAAGTTTGCACACTGAGCAGATCTCCAACAGCCCTTGGAAATATATTCTTGGGCACGAGCTATGCCTGTCTGCCAGAGTGGTAACAGCTTTGAAGGTACCTATTAAAAATGAAAAAAAAGGAGAAGGAACATGGAAGTAAAAATGGTGCAAAATCAGGTTGACAAAGGTTATTTTTGCTACACTAACATTTCTTTTATATTTTTACATTGGATCTGATCTTAAAAAGGACACTATAGTCACCAAAACAACTAAAGCTTAATGAAGCAGTTTTTGTGTATGGATCATGCCTCTGATGCTTCACACTGCGCAATTCACAACTATGTAGAAGGTAAATAACTTTTGTTTCTATTTATGCAGCCCTAGCCACACCTCCCCTCGGCTGTGCCTGACACAGCCTGCATGAAAACAGAATGGTTTCATTTTCAAACATGTGTAAGTTTTTAGCTCCTACTCTGCATAGTGATTTTTAGTTACATTCAGGAGGCTTTTGCAAGGTCTATTAAGCTATTAACAGAGCAAGAGATAAGAAATGCAAATTAAACATAATTTGCAATAAAGGAAGTCTAAACATTAGATGACTCTTAACAGGAAGTGTTTAGGAAAACTGTGCAAGCCACATGCTGACATGTGAGAGTAGTGCTGAGTTAGTGATGAGTAAACAAAGTGATTTAACTCCTAAATGGCAGATCATTTAAGAATGAGACTGCATGGGCATGATCTATGCACCAAAACTACTTCATCAAGCTAAAGTTGTTTTCGTGACTACAACGTCCCTTTAAAGGGGCAACATAACACTATTACACCATCACTCGGGATTGAGAAGTCATTTGACACTATTACATATCCATAACCAATTTCTTTTTATTTGTATGAAAGAATTACTAAGCATGGAGCATGAATAATCACACACTCTCGGTAATTCTCACACAGGAAGCAATGTGACCAGGATTTGGATCAGCTCCTTTATCTTTCATGTCAACATCACTGGAGGAAAATCACCTGCAAGAGTACTGCATTCATATGTAGATTCTCCTATGATTTTTTGAATGCATTACCTTTAAATAAACCCCATAAAAAATGAAATTGGGAGCTAGTTCTTATTTCAAATTAATGGCATTTACTTGCCTCTTTTTTGACAGGCCTTTCCCTTTGTTTTTGAGGTCGACGCAAGTCTGGCAATTCTGCAAACTGTTGTACACCTATAAACTGCACAACGGCTCTTGCAGGCACCCATATCTTTTCTGTTAGTTCCCCCAAAGTCTCCACATAATACTGTCGAGGAGCCTTCTTGCCACTTGCATCTGGTAAGTGTAGAAAGGAAAAAAAAAAAAAAAAGAGTACATTTCAAATACACTACTGGTAAATGCATTATTGGATAACTATTTACAGTGCTGTCATCAGTGTAATATGTGAATAAAAAAATAAAACACACTAATATAGAAACATGATCTTCTTTAAAATGCTCAGATTGAATATGACATGAGCAATTCCATTTGCTGGTATCCTTTTTAACATTCCTTTATATACAAGTATGATGCAGGGTTCTGTTCGCAGTTCGATACAGTGCTGATACTGTTAACTGAACGGGACATTCCGTTGTGATATAGCATCTTTACATGCTGGTTTGTTATGAATGAATTAGCTAGTCAGTGGCCCATAGGGGGTTTAAAAAAGCAACAACATTTTCTTTGAGGTAAGTGCTTGTCTGATATATGATCCTGTTAACTGTGAGAAAGATTTGATGACATGATTTAATTTGAAGGAAAGAATAAATAAATAAAAATACTTAAAAGAATGGAAATTGGAGAGCATATTAAAAGTAAAAATGGTCCATGGCCTACCTGTAATGTAATGCAATAGCAACATTATACTGCTTCTGCTTACCATTTTTTTGGGGCTGCCCTTCCTGAACCGGACTGGAACAGATCCTGCATGGCCACCATGGACGACGGTTGAATTTGGCCCAGACAACATCTCCTTCCTCATGCCTTACTGGAGGAGTTTTCTTTCTCCGTTTCTGCTGCAGAGAAAGAGAACAAATGAGCATTCTATAGAGCACCACCTTTTACGCAGACATCCTCTAGAGGGAGGTGATGAGTAGGTTAAACAAGGACACAGGAAGAGGGATAACAAAATAAAAAACACACTCACTGCACAAAGAGTAAAAATATGACTGCAGAATGCTCATTAAATGTTCTCAGGACGCCAGTTTTAAACAAAAACTGTAATTTTTATTAGTTAAAGGATTGCAATGTAATGTATTCATATAAGTAAAATATATCTTTTTTTTTTGTTAAACATATCATAGCTTACCATGGCTTCATGAAATCTGCAATGGGAAGCACCTATTATTACCCAACCACAGATCATGCAAGTAGTCAAGAGTGATTGTGAATTCAGAAATCCTGACATTGTGTGCAAGCTGCAGGCATCTCAAAAACATACACAGATTTAAATATTCAAAATGCACATATTCTTTGGCCATCTAAGTGGCGTTTCTGACCAAAGATAACAACCCTATGTTCAATTTAATTTAATCAAAGAACATTCAAAATGCATTCAGTAGGTGTCTATATAGACATTACACAAGGAGAAAAAAAGAACTGATCAATTTCTAACATGCAGTAGTTCTGTAACCTTGTAAGGAGGGTCTGTAGCTTATATCATTAAGTAGGGTTTGAGTCTCTAGCTAATATTTCTGAATCATAAGCAGACCTCCATATCAACAACTAGACAACCATAGGAGTGCAATACATAGGAATACCATTGCTAAATAATGTGTGAGAGGAATGTATGGGTTTTTCTTATTGATATTACTAAATTTACAAAAATGTAATGACATTCAGCGTCTCCATGTTTTTCATGATGCGCAAGCCTTATATCGTTGGTTGGAGCCAGCCCTGACCTGAACCATGGGGCGCTGGCAAAAGGTGAGTAAATCATCTTTTTAACCGGAGGTACGGGGGGCTGGGGACCTAAACAGCTATTTAGTCCTATAGTGTCAGGTATACATATTTGTATTCCTGACACTATAGTGTTCCTTTAATTTGTCAAGGACCTAGCTTATAGATCAACGAAACCTAGATAGATAGAAAACAAAAAAATGTACAACATGCTTTGACAGGCCTTACAGTAAGCTTATAATAATAACAATAATAAAAAGTTGCATCAGTTTTGAATAATTAAAATTCAGTTTGCCAGAATAGACATCTTGGCAAGATCCCATTAGGCTTAGTGGCTGACTGTGTCATGGTTTCTATAAAAATGGCAATAATGTCAACTATTAAAGGGACGCTATAGTCACCAGAACAACTATAGCTCAGTGTATTTGTTCTGGTGAGTATAATTATTCCCTGCAGACTTTTTGCACTAAACACGGTCTTTTCAGAGAAAATGCACAGCCTAGGGCAGCGATGGAGAACCTATGTCACGCGTGCGACAGCTGGCATGCAGAGCCCTCTCTGTGGGCAAGCAGCCATATATTCACCTGAGACTAGCAAGGCATTGTCCTGGGGAACCCAAGAGCTGGCCGGCTGACCACCTTTGGGCACCACCCGAGGCAGGCGGCAGTTTGATTTGCGGTCGGGCAGTGAGGGAGTGCTGTAGTCTGAGCTCTTACTGCTCAGCTCCCTCACGTGCCACTTAGTGATGCCGGGAGCCAGACTGACGTCAGAGCTGAGCAGGAAGATCAGAGCTCCTTCACCACCTACACTGCCAGTTCGCCCCCTGCCTGTCTGTCCAGCAGCACAAGCAGCCCCACTGGACCCCAGGTAAGGAATCCACTCCAGTTCTCCCACGGAGGCTGGGTGGAGTTAAATTAAAATAATTTAAAAAAAATAATAATCGTAATTTGTGAGTGTTGGGGGAAATGTGTATGAGTGTGTATATGTCTCTCAGTTAATGTGTGTGTGAGTGTGTGCGTCTGGCAATGATTATGTGACTGTCAGTGTGTGTTTGTCAGTGAGTGTGTCTGCATAATAGTGTGTGACTTTCATCGTGTCAAATCAGGGAGTGTGTGTGTGTGTGTATGTCATTGTATTTCAGTGTATGTGAGTGTGTGCATCTGTCAGTGAAAGTGTGTACTTCAGTACATGCATTGGTGAGGGAGTCTGTCAATCAAAGTGTGTGCGGCCTTGACAGGAAGGGGTTGGGGAAAATTTAAATTAGGGGGGTGCCCTGAGTTTGTTCATGCCTAAAGCAGCACAAATTCAAAATACACCACTGAGGGTGCCCACGTGTTCCGTATTGCCCGGGACAGTCCCGCATTTTGAGAGTCTATCCCGGGCACCCTCATTCCGGAACAATGCAGTGATGTGGGGGGTGGGGGGACGGCAATTGCCTCTCCCTAGAAATTAGTGCAGCTCCCATAGGGAAACAACCTCACCAGGGGCCCAGCCGGGTGCTGCAGCCCTTTGGCAGACCGCGTCCCTTTAATGTTGCAGAGAGTGCTGAGAGGAAGTGAATGTTACGTCCTCCCAGCATACAGACCACGCAGGCTGACAGGACACTAAAGAAGGAACTGAGAGAGGAGTAGGAGGCAGGAGAGAGAGCTCTGCAGCTTCTCCTTCAGACTCCCATCACCATCAGCCAGCCCCAGGAATACATCTCCCTGCAAACAAAAGGTATGGGAGCAGAGGATGGTTAACAAATGTAAATTGCAATTTGTGGGCTTGCCCATGTGAACGTTTAGCTGAGTGTACCTGTGAGTATATGTGGGAGTGTAAGTATATGTCAGTGTCTCTGCGAGTGTCAGTGTGTATAATTGCCGTGTTGGCACTTTGAGGAAAAAAGTTGGTTTGTATTGCGGTTTGGCACTCTGGCTCAAAAATGTTTGCCATCATCGTCCTAGGGATACTTCCACTGGCCACGCCTGAGATGGCTACTGGAGGTGCTTCCTGGGGCAGTGCTGCAGTGTGTGCAGCACTGTCATTCAGTGTCTCTACCCTCTGCATGGAGACACTAAACTTTCCTCATAGAGATACATTTATTCAATGCATCTCTATGAGGAGATGCTGATTGGCCATGACTGTGGCTTGTGCTGGCTCTTCTCCCTGATCTGGCTCCTTGACAAGCTCAATAAAGCCAATGCTTTCCTATGTGAAAACATTGTGATTGGCTCAGATCAATAATTCTGATGATGTCAACCAAGCAGGTATATCTGGGGCAGAGCCAGCAGCAGCATACTGGAATAAAGGTAAGGTTTTGCTACATTTAGGAGAGCAAGGGGGGGCTCGATGGTGGTTTCAGCACTATAGGGTCAGAAATACAAGTTTGTGTTCCTGACCATATAGTGTTCCTTTAAGGTAAAGAATATGGAAAGTAACAGCAACAAAATTAAAATAAAGAAAATTAAAGGGCTACTTCAACCACAATGGCCACCTCAAGCAGATATGGTGTTATGACCATATCTGCTTGAAAAGCTGCACATACAGAGAAATCTGTACTTTTATTCTGGGGCTAGTTACACCCCCCAGCACACATGACTAAGGCAGCCCAGAACTCTGTTCAGGGCTGCCAAATATCAATCCTGTGTAAAAATGAAGTCTGTCATCAGTGTGTTGTTGATATATGTAAATTATCTTTTTCCTTGCAGGCACCGCACCTGAAAGGGAAAGCCTTGTTCTCCCCTCACTCTATAGCTGAATTTTGTTTTCCAATCCCTCACCGCTCTCCCTTGATGTCTTAGAAATATTGGAGTAACCCTTTAAGACTAGTGATTCACAACTTCAGTGAGAGAAAAATGTATTTTCTACCATCAGCAGCTGTGTTCAAACATCATATTTCCTTGAACCCTTACTAGAAAGGTATCCAATCAATACTGCTCACCAAACCGATAATTTTAATTAATTGCCAAATGGAAATCCTTATTTTGTTGCGGACAAAAAAAATAAAAACACAAACCAAAAACAAGAACACTGCATTCAGGTGTCCTTGTGCCCTCCAGAGTAAGTAATTAAAGGAACACTATAGGGTCAGGAACACAAACATGTATTCCTGACCCTATAGTGTTAAAACCACCATCTGGCCCCCTGATCCCATCATGCCTCCCTAAATATAGTAAAATCGTACTTGTATTCAAGCCTGAAGCTTTAACTCTGCATGCCGTTTGCCACAGAATAGTAAGCGGTCTGCTGACATCATCAGAAGTGGTGGTCTGGGCCAATCACCATGCTTTTCCATAAGATTGGCAGAGACTGACAAGGAGGCAGATAAGGGGCAGAGCCAGCACAATTCAAACACAGCCCTGGCCAATCAGCATCTCCTCAGAGATTAATTGAATCTATGCATCTCTATGAGGAAAGTTCAGTGTCTACATGCAGAGGGTGGAGATACTGAATGTTTGGATGCATTTTAAGCAGCCATGACCCAGGAAGGATCTCTAACAGCCATCTAAGGAGTGGCCAATTAAGTTATCACTAGGCTGTAATGTAAACACTGCATTTTCTCTGAAAAGACAGTGTTTACAGCAAAAAGCCTGAAGGTAATGATTCTACTCACCAGAAGAAATTCAATAAACTGTAGTTGTTCTGGTGACTATAGTGTCCCTTTAACACCTTAAGGACACATAACATGTGTGACATGTCATGATTCCCTTTTATTCCAGAAGTTTGGTCCTTAAGGGGTTAAAACTGTTTTAGAATGCTTGACACCGCACCAGGAGCTCAATGCAGGGAGCTTCCGAGGAGGTGATGAGAAGTGCACCCCATGTACGTAGTCAAACCATTCTTAAACAATTTTACTACTTACACTGGGAAAGTGCAATGACAATCATGGTACAATAACAATGACAGCAGGCTCTAGGGGTTGTTGCTTGCAGTGTTCCTATAAGTGACCTCTAAAAGCACCCAGTTGGTCTGGTTGTATTGGTGCTTTAGTTTTAACACTGCAATGAGAAATACTGTCATTTAGCCTTTGGTGCCTGGGCTCCTGATAGCCACTAGAGGCTATAATTTGATTGGAGGCTCCATATGAGTGGAGTAGCGCAGCACTGGCCATGTGCTTTAAAAAATAAAATAAATTGGTGTAATGTCACAGAAGGTGAATCAGGTGCCTGGAACTGGATTTTGCTTTTTAGCTAAATTTAGGGTCTGAGCCTTAAAAACTAACACAGAGGATAGAATTTTGTATTCCTAAAGTGTGTCCTATAGTGTTCCTTTAAGAGACAACTGAAAAAAGCTTGAGTATACATTTAGAGAACATTGAACAGGGAAAAACTAGATGACAACAGCAGATTAAAATAAAACTATCAAAAAGAATTTAATGGCGAAGAATACACGGAGACAATATAGCAAATTCAAGTAGCAGCATATGATTAGACGAGCACAATGTTTGACCGACCCTTAAGTCATTCGGTGGAAAGGACGAATTTGGAGCGGCAAATTTGAACATAAAGCTCAAGAGCTTTGTACTCTGGGGCTGTGAAATGGTTTAAAACCATTTTAAAACCATTATCTGATACAGCTGTTAGAATGTTACTTATTGTACCAAAAACATAAAAAAAAAAACAAAAAAAAACAACGCACCAAAACAAAAAACGAACAATACAACCTGCCACACACCTCCAACAATACAATAAAAATAAAAAGTGTTTTGGAGGGGCGGGGCCTGACCTTCAAGTAAGCCAGACGTGAAACACTGAGCTCCTGGACTATTAATTGACAAAAAGGATATACCGTATTTTTCGCTCCATAAGACGCACCTCACCATAAGACGCACCTAGTTTTTAGAGGAGGAAACCCAGAAAAAAAAATATTCTGAACAAACTGTTCCATAGTGTTTCTTACTATAGGACAGTTTGTTCAGAATATTTTTTTTTCTCCCCTGTCCCATAATGATCTTTAACCCCTCCTACCCTTGTCCATTAGTGTTCTGATCCCATAGTGTCCCCCCCTCGCATTGTTCCATAGTGCACTTTCCCTCCCATAGTGTCCCCCTCCCCTTCTCCCATAGTGTCTCCCCCTCCCCTTGACCCATAGTGTCCTCCTCCCCTTCTCCCATAGTGTCCTCCCCCTCCCCTTCTCCCATAGTGTCTCCCCCTCCCCTTCTCCCATAGTGTCTCCCCCTCCCTTTCTCCCATAGTGTCCTCCTCCCCTTCTCCCATAGTGTCCTCCTCCCCTTCTCCCATAGTGTCTCCCCCTCCCCTTCTCCCATAGTGTCTCCCCCTCCCTTTCTCCCATAGTGTCTCCCCCTCCCTTTCTCCCATAGTGTCCCCCTCCCTTTCTCCCATAGTGTCCCCCTCCCCTTGACCCATAGTGTCCCCCACCCCTTCTCCCATAGTGTCCTCCTCCCCTTCTCCCATAGTGTCCTCCTCCCCTTCTCCCATAGTGTCCTTCTCCCCTTCTCCCATAGTGTCTCCCCCTCCCTTTCTCCCATAGTGTGTCCCCCTCCCCTTAACCCATAGTGTCCCCCTCCCCTCGTCCCATAGTGTCTCCCCCGCCCCTCGACCCATAGTCCTCCTCCTTCTCCCATAGTGTCCTCCTCCCGCTCCCATAGTGTGTCTCCCCCCTCCCTTTCTCCCATAGTGTCCCCCTCCCTTTCTCCCCTAGTGTCTCCCCCTCCCTTTCTCCCATAGTGTCTCCCCCTCCCTTTCTCCCATAGTGTCTCCCCCTCCCTTTCTCCCATAGTGTCCCCCTCCCTTTCTCCCATAGTGTCTCCCCCTCCCTTCTCCCATAGTGTCCTCCTCCCCTTCTCCCATAGTGTCTCCCCCTCCCTTTCTCCCATAGTGTGTCCCCCTCCCCTTAACCCATAGTGTCTCCCCCCCTTAACCCATAGTGTCTCCCCTCCCATTGTCCCATAATTACTTACCTGTCTTGGAGCGTGGGCCGGCTTCACAGCGCGCTCCGCCGTCCAGGAACTTCTATTTCAGGTTCCGGTTTCCGGCGGGACTGAAAGGAAGTGTGCACACTGAGTGTGCACTTCCTTTCAGTCCCGCCGGAAACCGGAACCTGAAATAGAAGTTCCTGGACGGCGGAGCGCGCTGTGAAGCCGGCCCACGCTCCAAGACAGGTAAGTAAATCTTCACATTCGCTCCATAAGACGCACAGACATTTCCCCTCACTTTTGAGGGGAAAAAAAGTGCGTCTTATGGAGCGAAAAATACGGTAACTCCTGATTTACTGGCCTCCGAGACCAAATCTAAGTGTTCCTGAAAGCAGGGGACGCCCAGGCAAGCTGTCTGTCACTTCAAACGAGGCCATGACATGGCTTGATCAGATCTTTCACCACTTTTGGCTCAAACTCCGGCGACGCCTTTCAGCTTTTTTTCACAGGTGACTATAGTGTCCCTTTAAAGGAACACTATAGGGCTCGGTATGCAAACATGAATTCCTAACACTATAGCCCTGGAGTGGCTGTTTAGGCTCCCGGCACTCCACAGATTGCAGTAAAAAGGTACGTTTACTCACTTTCTTGCTCAATGTACTGTCTTGCCACGAATAGACCTGCGTTTGTGGCAGAGATCAAATGCTATTGCGCATGCTTGGAAACACACTTCGCCAATCAGCATCTATTCTTACAGTTGCTTTGAATCAATGCATATCTCTATGGAGAGCATTTAGCTTCTCCATGCAAAGCGTGGAAAAGCTAAACATAGGTGCTGCACACTGTGCAGCACGGACATAGGAAGCACCTCTAGTGGACATCTTAGTAACTGCACCTACAGGTGTTACTAGGCAGCAATGAGAACACTGACTTTTTTTCCTGAAAAGGCAGCTTTAACAATGAAAGGCATGCAGGGACAAGCTATAGACACTAGAACCACTACATTAAGCTGTAGTGGTTCTTGTGACTATATAATACCCATTGTAGCACACTGGCCCATATGTTGGTGTTTTATAAATAACAATTATGTTGTTCTTCGTCTTTACAGACATTGCTATTGCAGTAATATATTTATAGTTTGGGTTTTTTTTCTACATCAATAAAGTGTTTTCTACAAATTCCTTTTTAATGCAAATTAAAGTCATGCCAGCTTTTCATTTAAAACTCAGATGAATACATTTGAATTTTAAAACGACACATGCCCCTCAGTAAACATCCAATAAACTGCACAATGGCTACCACCAACTTCAATCTTAACCACATTACCAAAATTGCCACTGAAAAGCTACCAGGGTACCATTTAAATCATCTTTTTGTAAACAAATCATTGACCATATTTGCTGAAAATGATAAACTGAAGCATGTATACTTTACTTTTTTTTTTTATACAATCATTAAAACCCACGTGGTCATACAGTTAAATCTGGTAAACTGGCTCTTGGTATCCCAGAGTGTGCGGCCATTCATGGCCATTTGACCTGTTTTGTTATAAAAGGTCAACAGGAGTAATAAATAGAAAGCATGTAGCTAAATATATACATTGATGTAGTGTGCATTAGTCTATAAAAAGAACAGGAAAGGGCTCTAAGCCCTGGGCTAAAACTTCAGGCAATATTAAAGGGACACTCTAAGCATGACTACCACTACAACTTAACATCGTGGTTTTGGTGCACAGATGCTGTCCTTTTTCTCTGGCAATGTAAAACATTGCAGTTTCTAAAAAAACAGCAGTGTTTACATTTGGGCAAAAATACACACTTCTAGTGGTATTTCTTCCTTAAAGGGATACTCCAGGCAACAATACAACTTTAATGACTTGATAGATTTTGGCCTCAGTAACATGCTGTAATCGTTTTAGATTTCTTTTCATGCTCAAACCTCCCCCCACCCCCATTTTAAAATGTAAAAAAAAACACCCACACTTTTTTTTTGCATGCGCTTGCATTGTTTTATGTATTTAGCACTGAGTAGTGTTTGTGTGTTTGCATGTAAGCATGTTTTTGTATGAAGTATGTGTGAGTAAATGTAGGGGTGTGTTTGCATGTAGTGTTGCCATTTGAATGCAGGCGTGCCTTTTTGTGTAGTGTGTTTTTTGAATATGTGGTGTGTTTTTATGTAGTGTTGATATTTGGATGCAGGGGTGTATTTGTGTGTAGTGTTGGCGAAATGCTGAGATGTATGCACATGTACACGTACATGATGCAAACGCATATACATAGAAACAGATACAGACAGACACTGAGACTTACAGATACACACGCACAGACATAAGTGTGTGTGTAGTGTGAATGCAGTGTGTGTATAGTGAGCAGTATGTATTGTTTGTGTGTGTGTCCTCCCTCCCTGACTCTTACCGGTGTCCAGGGAGTGGGGACACACTACATTCCCTGGTGGTCCAGTGGCATAGTATGGTTGCCCAGTGAAGAGAGGCCCAGGAGTCTCCACATCCAGCAGCAGCATGTCCTCTGTTCTCGTGATCTGTGAGAGCGTTGCTGCAGGTTACCATAGGAACGCACTCGCAGATCACGAGAACAGATGCTGGGTATGGAGACTCCTGCAAGCGGCATGAAAAAGCGCCCCGGGCACTCCCCTAGTGAGTGGCATCTGGGGCGGACTCACCCTTGCCCCCTTTAGTATGCCACTGTGCTCAAATCTTTATAGTTTTTACAGAATGCTGCAACGTAAGCCTGATTCTTTAGCCATTTGTACAAGGTATAGTAGGTGAATATGAACAAAGGACTTGAGTTACAGCACACCTGGAAGGCTTTCTGTTCCTTGTAGGAGTACTATATCTCAGTTTTTTTTATATTTGGTCAGTAATTAACAGGATTGGAAAGTTATGGGAGAAAAACCTATTGCTAAGTATTACTTTCATTTTATGATATTTTACTTGTTCCGTGTTAAATGTATAAGTGTATTTTAACATTACTATATATATATATATATATATATATATATATATATTTTTTTTTTTTATTCTTTGTTTTATTGAGGTATGACATTCATAATACAGGTTTGCAAGAGATGTAGCATAAGAAACTTATAATGAATTGTACATAGGCGAGACGAATACAACGTACCAGTTTATCAGACCTCATTTTTTGTTTGGTTGCATTGTTACAAAACAAAAAATGAGAACAGGGTATAGTATAATATTAAAAATACAAAGTAATGTTTGTCGGCTCAGGACATACTTGAAAACGTGATAAATCTCAATGTATCCATCCTGGTAAAAGATTTTATAAATAAATGTTGGTGTTGATCTGGGAGTGGAACTACTTTTGCTGTATATTTCTAAGGTGTTGTAGGTACCCAACGTGCAGAGACCGACCCAGTACTATCCAGGGATACATAATAACGATCAGATGCGTATTACTATAACTTAACATTATGCCTGGAAAACGTGAAAGGATTGTAAAATAACTAGCCGAGGTTACAGTAGTATAAAAAGGTATTCTGCGTGGGCAAACCAGGCCAGGCATGTCAGAGGGCAAGAACAAGTCAAGTCAAACCCCAGAACATGCACACAGATGATGAACATGCTATTGCAATCACAAGAAACCCACAACAGAGGCTGTATCCGAGCATGGGAGGGGTTTACATACTTGTGATCCCTGCTAGTAGCCCAGCATTATCCTGGCACACCGAAAACATGTGTGCGCACATTGGTAATGTGCAGCATGGGCGTTTTACAAAGAACCTACGCAGAATGACAGTGTTCTGCTTCAAAATTGACACCAGAATGACGCATGGATTGCGATAGTTGAGAAAGCCATAGGTACCCTTACAGGTTCTCAAAGCAATATAATTGTAATCCATTTGAATACAGAAATAAGTAAACCAAAAGTATTGCCAGATACACACTGGTACCACCATTGACATCTAATCTATGAAAATCTCAAACCTCTCTCAAAGACCAGAAATAAATAATTTAAGCAATGCCTCAAAATTTTCACTATCCATTAACGAGTGAAAAGGTAGACCTGAGAGGGTGTCATGGAGTTCTTATTGGACCTATTGCAGTTTCTGATATCAGCAGCTGTATGACATGGGGTTAAACCAGGGTCGTACGATATAATTAAAACTTTAAAGGGGGTAGAAATCTGACATCCAACTACCTGCCTTCACAGGGCACATTCCAGTTCAGCTAGTACTTCAAAACCGGCATGCCTCCATGACAGGTTGAGGAATTTAGGAGAGGGATCACAAATCTTTAATAAGGTGATGCTCTCAGCATTAATGTGCAGAGTGTTGAGTACCGTCTGCCAAAGTTTGCAAACCATTAACGTACAGTTTAACCCCTTAAAAGGGGTGACAGCACCTGGAACCTTTTTGCACCATAACTCCTTTGTGATGAAATTGTTTTAGTGCACAGTATAGTCCTCTGAATTTGATTTAAGTCGTAGCACACAACATGTTCATCCTTTAACTTCGTACTAACATACTAATACCCAAATTAAAACAATCCCCATTTCTTATGGCAGTGGTTTTCAACCAGTGTACTGTTGCACGCTGGTATGCATCAAGCCACTTCATAATGTGTCACAAACATTGCTTCAGAGATGTTATAGATTTAATGTAGTCCTTAAAATTAGTGGGGGGTTTTTTTTTTTTTTTTAATACAGTTTCAGTATTAAAACATGTAATTCCCAACAATTAAAACAAAGTCAGTTTGCCTAAAAATGCACATATCTTTAAAGCCTTCACATGAATGTGACATTTACAAGCTTCAAATTAATGTCAAGTGTGCTTTTGTCCAAAAAAAGTTGGTAAAAGCTGACTTGTGGAAGAAAGTGACAGACACATTGAAGCTCCAAAATGGCAACAACGAACAAAGAAATAGGATGCCTGTTTGCAGTTGCGGATTTGTATATTTACAGGTAAAAGGAATTTTACATTGCTCATGCTCACAGATAAGGCAAGGGGTGGGAGATGACATCAACATGTGTTGGATACTACAGTAAGAGACCTTGTTTTGTTATGATATCAGAGGAGGGGACTACACTATCAAGTTTCATTGAGTGACTATAGTCCACATCGATGGCCCTACATGTATCATCCTGAAACAGGTTTTCAAGATCAGAGACAACATGGATTTACTTCAGGGAGATCATGCCAAATTAATCTTATTGATTTGTAATTAAAATAATAGATCAGGGTGGTGCAGTAGACATTGCTTACCTAGATTTCAGTGAGGCTTTTGACACTGTTGCACATAGAAGGCTTATTTATAAACTGCAATCTTTAAGTTTGGATTCCAATATTGTTGAATGGGTAAGGCAGTGGCTGAGTGACAGGCAACAGAGGGTTGTAGTCAATGGAGTATATTTGAAGCATGGGCTTGTCGCCAATGGGGTACCTCAGGGATCTGTACTTGGACCCATTCTCTTTAATATTTTTATTAGTGATATTGCAGAAGGTCTTGATGGTAAGACCTTCTAAGGTATGTCTTTTTGCTGATGATACTAAGATATGTAACAGGGTTGATGTTCCAGGAGGGATAAGCCAAATGGCAAATGATTTAGGTAAACTAGAAAAATGGCAATGAGTTGTGGCAACTGACATTTAATGTGGATAAGTGCAAGATAATGCATCTTGGACGTAAAAACCCAAGGGCAGAGTACAGAATATTTGATAGAGTCCTAACCTTAACATCTGAGGAAAGGGATTTAGGGGTGATTATTTCTGATGACTTAAAGGTAGGCAGACAATGTAATAGAGCAGCAAGAAATGCTAACAGAATTATTGGTTGTATAGGGAGAGGTATTAGCAGTAGAATGAGGGAAGTGCTCATGCCATTGTACAGAACACTGGCGAGACCTCACTGTACACAGTACTGGAGACCGTATCTCCACAAGGATATTGATACTTTAGAGAGAGTTCAGAGAAGGGCTGCTAAACTGGTTCATGGATTGCAGGATAAAACTTACCAGGAAAGGTTAAAGGATCTTAATATGTATTGCTTGGAGGAAAGACGAGACAGGGGGGATATGATAGAAACATTTAAATACATAAAGGGAATCAATACAGTAAAGGAGAAGACTATATTTAAAAGAAGAAAAACTACCACAACAAGAGGACATAGTCTTAAGTTAGAGGGGCAAAGGTTTAAAAATAATATCAGGAAGTATGACTTTACTGAGAGGGTAGTGGATGCATGGAATAGCCTTCCAGCTGAAGTGGTAGAGGTTAACACAGTGAAGGAATTTAAGTATGTGTAGGAAAGGCATAAGGCTAGCTTAACTACGAGATAATGCAAAAGAATAATAAGCGCTCTCTTCTCAGGGGTGAGCTGCAGTTCACCAACAAGGTGTTCCTCTACCTTGTGATAAATGGACAGATAAAATAGAAAGGTGAACAGCGCTAAAAATCAGAAAATGTACATACGTTTTGTAGAAATACTGGCCAGCAGAGTAACTTAAAAAAAAGAGAAACAAAAATACAAATAATGGTACAGTATGTATGAACGATATAATTCCACAAGAACAAAGGTGTTATATTCACACTCACACTTTGAGGAGCTATATCAGCTCGGTGTTAAGAGCCTGGACGGAATAATCCCCGTCTATGGATTTCTTGAGGTTCAAGACCGTTGGTGAATTTATAGGTGTAAATATTCGTTACATGAAAAACAAGAGTAAAATACACCACATGGTATAGTACGTAAATATAAAATATTGTGAAAAAAAAAGTGGATGATCCTACTTACATATACTAGAGCAACGACCTGCTCTAGTTTGGAGAATTTCAGGTGGAATAATCCCCACCTTGGGATATAGTGGACCCAGGTATAGCAGCAAAGCAGTATTGGATAGGAAGGAGGACAAAAGGAATGACTGGATAGTTTAAAAAATATATATACTTTAATACAATAAGTAAAAAGTGAATAATAAACTATAAAACCAGTCCTGTATAAAAGTCCAAAATTCTTCCTCACTTGACGCGTTTCGCCGAAGCTTTCTCAAAAATGTGGTGTATTTTACTCTTGTTTTTCATGTAACGAATATTTACACCTATAAATTCACCAACGGTCTTGAACCTCAAGAAATCCATAGACGGGGATTATTCCGTCCAGGCTCTTAACACCGAGCTGATATAGCTCCTCAAAGTGTGAGTGTGAATATAACACCTTTGTTCTTGTGGAATTATATCGTTCATACATACTGTACCATTATTTGTATTTTTGTTTCTCTCTTTTTTTAAGTTACTCTGCTGGCCAGTATTTCTATAAAACGTATGTACATTTTCTGATTTTTAGCGCTGTTCACCTTTCTATTTTATCTTTCTATTTTATCTAACTACGAGATAAGGCCAGAGACTAATGAAAGTATTTAAAAAATTGGGCAGACTAGATGGGCCGAATGGTTCTTATCTGACGTCACATTCTATGTTTCCAGGTCAAAGGCCAGCATATGGGTCTGGAATAATTACATTCCTCAAACAGTCCATATCATTTTATCCACTGTGAGCTTTTAACCTTGGGAGTGGGGAGGGGGTCTTATTTGTAAGTCTTGTCAAACAGCAGGTTAGATGTTCAAGCGAGGCGGAAAATACCTATCAGTGAGCACTGAAGATCAATGCCAGGAAAAATTAAATGCTTCCAAAATGGAACAAACAAGAAAAAGGAATTGTAAGGTACATCCAGAATACGCATGTCTTAATAATGGTTCCGCTGCAAGGAGCAAAAGATATACAAATACACATTAAGTTTTAAACTCACCCAGACTAATTCACCTCAATGAAGTGATATAGGTGCAGTGCCTCTATAGTATCAGCTATGCAATCTAAAACACTGACGTTAAATACAGCAATGTTTTAAATGCATAAGCATTTTTCTAATGGCTGCCTGGAAGGCACACTCCAAAAATAGATCACAAAAAGGATTTGATTGGACGCATGCACAGCGCTGACATGCATTGGGTTGTAACAAAAGGCAAAGAAGCGATGCCTACCAGAAATAGTACCAAGTGTTAAATTTTTGAGCTGGGAAAAGGTAAATACATTTTTAGCTTTTATGCTATTTACGTTATGGGTGGGGCCAACTAATCTAAATAGAGAGGAGACACTATAGAGTTACGAATACTTTTGCATTCACAGTTAGTGTTCCCCTAAACAAGGTATGACCATATGGTGTGACTAAATTCCCAAATTTGTTTGCCAACATATCCATGAAAGAATGTATGCTCTATTTTTGTGTGTGTGCAGTAAATATGTAATTGTCAAACAGTAGGTGACATTTTATCCACATTGAGCTTTTAAACTTCGTTTCTATTAAAGAAGTAAAAACATACAATAATTTAGTGGCTTTTTAAAAATAAAATAAATAAAATGCATAAGTCATTATATAAAGTGTCGCGCCAGCCATCCTCCCATATCGCACAGCAGCCTTTATAAGTCAAATGTCTGCATTGTGGTAGACTTTCTGGTGCTCTGAGCATACTACTGGGATACTTTGTTGGCTTTAATAGCATCCTGGAATGCCTTGTTTTGTACACATGCTTGCTGTTAGCCCTGTAATTGGTCCTACTGTATGTGAACATTTCTACATTCTGCTAACAATTTTAGAAAGCTGCATTCCCAAAACTGCAAGCAAAATCCATTTAAGCAGGGTATTTTGCATTTTATATATTGACACATTTAAAGGGACACTCCAGGCACCCAGGCCACTTCTGCCCATTGGAGTGGTCTGGATGCCAACTCCCACTACCCTTAACCCTGCAAGTGTAATTATTGCAGTTTTTATAAACTGCAATAAATTACCTTGCAGGGTTAACTCCTCCTCTAGTAGCTGTCTACTAGACAGCCACTAGAGGGCACTTCCGTGTCTATTGCACAGGTTTTCTGTGCAAGAGCGTCGCTGGACGTCCTCACGTTGTGTGAGGACCTCCAGCGTTGCTCAATTCCCAGTAGGAAAGCATTGAAAAGTATTTTCAATGCTTTCCTATGGAGAGCTCTAATGCGCATGCGCGGCATTGCCGCGCATGTGCATTAGGACTCCCCGGCAGGCCCAGTCTCGCCGACCGGCTGACATAAGGAAGGGGAGGAGCGGCGGCAACCCGAAACCACCACCGAGGGATGGGAGGTGGGAGGGGACCTGCAGTGCCAGGAAAACTGACTGGTTTCCTGGCACTGGAGTGTCCCTTTGAAAAGAACACTGAAGGGACAGGAACACAAACATGAATTACCGACCCTATAGTGTTAAAACCATCATTTTGGCAGCTTGTCCCCCTTTGCACTCCTTAAAAGGTAAGAAACCTTCCCTTATTTCCAGAGTCGTGCGTGTCTGCCTCCGATCCGCCTCCTTGGCTGACAAAATCAGAAGCCAATACAATGCTTTCCCAAAGGAAAAGCTTTAGACTGGCTGAGATTGGCCAGTGTGGAGTTTGGCCCCACCCCGCCTCCTTGACAATCAACATCTCCTCAGAGATACATTGAATCAATTCATCTATAAGTGGAAAGTTCAGCGTCTCCATGCAGAGCCTAGAGACGCTGAAAGTCAGTGCTGCACACGTTGAAGTACTGCCCCAGGAAGCACCTCTAGAGGCCATCTGAGGAGTGGCCACTGAAGGTTTCCCTTGGGAGCAATGTAAACACTGCCTTTTGTCTGTGTTTACAGCACAAAGCTTGCAGGGTCTGACTATAGTTACCAGAACAACTACATTAAGCTGTAGTTGCTCTGGTAATTATAATGTCCATTTAATTTATACCAACGGGTTATGTTTCAATTTAGAGTATCATATTGATTTTCCGACTTAAAATTTCTCTAAAGTATGAATTAAAATAATAATAATGTGTAGGAGTAGGGAAAAAAATTATATCTCCCTTTAGCTTCTGCTTGGACTTATGTGCATCAAGTAGTCATGTCATTTTGCAGGGTGGGGTTTTTTGCAAAATATGCGAAGACCCCAAAAGTGATAGGACGTTAAAGACATTGATTTGATGCTGAAATTTGACAAGATATTACATACAGTATATACTCGAGTATAAGTCTAGTTTTTCAGCACATTTTTTGTGCTTAAAAACCCCCACTCGACTTATACTCGAGTCACTGGCTGTATTATGGCAACTTAGAGAGCCGCGGCCGTCAGAGCCATGGCAACGATCCGCGCGGCAACCAGACCGCGAGACTTACAGTGGAGCTGACCGGAACGGAGGAGAAGGGAGCTGCAGGAAAGGTAAGTAAATGCTTCCTGCCGGCCCCCCCACTTCACAGCCCATGCCACTGGACCACCAGGGATTAAGATAGCAAGTTAACAAGCATAGGGGGGGGGGGCCAAAAATAAAAATAAAAAAATTATAAAAATGCCCTCCCCCCACCCAGTTTACACACACTACACAAACACACACTCTGCATTATATACACAGAGTGTGTGTATATAATGCAGAGTGTGTGTTTGTATGAGTGTGTGTGTATATAATGCAGAGTGTGTGTTTGTATGAGTGTGTGTGTATATAATTATAAAAATCACAGAATTTCATAGCCCCAAGTTTTACCCTCGACTTATCCACGAGGCATAGCATATTTCACAATTGTTGGTCACAAAACTGCACTCGACTTATACATGAGATCGACTTATACACGAGTATATACGGTAGCTACCAGTACAAGTCATCCTAATGTGGTACATTACATAATTTAACTTTTTAAGAAATCCTTGAGCTAGGGATTAAAATACCAACCACTTTAAAAGGACCTCAAAAGTCACCCAGACCATTTCATATGAATGAAGTGGTCTCATTGCAGTGGTGCTGTCACGTTAACCATTCAATGTTCACACTGAAGGGCTAAATAGACATCTAATGGACGTCTTCAAGACAGCCAATAGAGACACATCCTCCTCCAGAATAGCGAGTCAAACTCAGTCCTGCAATCAAATACTGCTCATAGCAGAATTTTATTGGAGGAGCACTGCTTTTCGCCTTGTATGATGTCTCCAATCCAATGTTTCTCAAGATTGGAGAAGAAATCAGTAGGCATGCTGACTACTTCAGAGGCAGAGCAGGCTACTGCAGTGGAGGAACCTCCGCACCGAAAATTAAATGAGCAATCTTAAATTAAAAAGGATTCTATAGGAACCCTGACCACTTAATCTCATTGAAGCTGCCTGGGTTACTGTCCTTGTAACTTTAGAGAAACTGCAATGTATTCATGCTCATCCTTCTGTTTCACGGAATTTAACTGCGAAAAGACGCTGGACGGACACCAAGCTTCTTGCGCAACCCTATAGGAAAGCATTTATCTAATGCTTTCCTATGGTGAAGGCCTGTTATGGCCTGTAAAGTCTAATGTTTACATTTGTCCACAACCACACTCTAATGAATGTCAGCCTGACAACCACCAAAGGCTCATCCTCACTGAAGACTTGAAAAATCAAAAGGTCTGTGGCATCATGCCTCCAGCGCTTCCTTATGAATTTAATGCATTAGATAGAAAAAAAAAAAAAAAAGTCTTCATGACTGATAACTTCATTGGTGCAGGAGCAGCAGTACAGAGAATATATATTCTAAACACAAAACGAGGGTGGGGGGTGCTGTAGACCAAACAATAGAAACACTCTACCACTCAAAATAATGGCAATTATTTTTAGCATTAGAGTGTTTCTTTAATGTATCTCTATGACAGAATCCCTTAAGGTCTGTTGGCAATTCAGAAATAGAGAAACACTCATTCAATGGGATAACACCCAAATTCATCTATTAAGCCAGATTGTAAACCAGCTTTGAGAGTAAATAAGTGAAACATTTCTCTTTCCCCATGTACCCAATATTTGCTTTGCTTACACGAGGTAATTGTGATGCATCAGGGGGCCCTCCAGCATCTGCTTCCATATTTACCAGATCCTCATCCGCCGACACTGATTCTTCCTCTTTGTGTACCAAGTTGAGAGTACGATGACCACTTAATCTGTTATCCACTTGTGAAACACTACTGAGTGATGGAGCTCTTTCCAGAATGCTAATAGAAGAGTTGTGAATGTGCGAGCTATTCGGTATTTCTGGATCCTGGATCATTGCTAAAAAGGATGTTTTTGTTTCAATACTTCTGTTGCCTACTGTACTGTCACCATCATCACCCCAATTCAGAGGAACCAAATTGCCCAAGTCTGACACAAAGTCAGATGCAGTGTTAAGTTTGGATCTTGTTTCTTCTATATGCATATTATCTACCACAGAGGGTTGTTGTCCATAAACAGGCAAGTCCATCCCAAAACCAGGTCCATCTAGATCATAGTTTAAATGTTCCATACCATATTCTACCTCCTCCATTCCCAGGTGGCAAAACTGATCAAAAGAGTGCATTCCATTTCTTACATTTTTAGGCAACTTTACAGGAGGTTCTGGAAGATAGCGATGTGCAGATTGTTGTCCGGTGAGATGCATTGCTGGCTCACCTTGACTATAATAAAAAGGTGGAGGATTTCCTTCTGATCTGTTTCCCTCTGTGTCTTGGGATCCATTAATACCATCCATGCTTATCATAGAGGCAAGATCCTGTAATTTTCGAAGAGGAATGTAGTGGGAGGAGGGATCTTGCCCATAACCTGATGTGCAGCTCTGCAGGGGTGAGGCTAGTGGCACACTGCACCCATTTGGTGGATCCAAGACACTCCTGTCACCCACGGGACATTTGTTCTGGACATTCAGGTCCAAGGAGTTGAAATACACTGGGGCATTAGACAGCCTGTCTAGATCACAGGCTTCATCCATCCTGTGGAGGCATAAACCTGGCAAAATGGACACAAGAATAAGTTTAAAACCAATTCAAAAGAATACAAGTTAAATATTTTAACCATGACATTAGGGACATTACTCTGATTTGTTAACCCTTGTAATAAAAACAATGACATATTTAAGCACTAGACAGAATGCCAAGAAAGAGTCCAAACAAACAAGATACTCTTCTGCCAGTCCACAAAGGAATTCTGCATATCTCATAGTTTAGTTCAAAATAAATAAAAATAGGCACGATTAAATGGCCACAAAACACGGACTTGAGTGAAATCATGTTCCCTGGCCAAAATGGCAGCCTCTTGCAGCAGGCAGAGGCCTACACTGTAGGCAATGTCTGGCTTTTCCGGTGCAGAGACAGTGGTGCTCAATCCTTCCCCGGCAGTGGAGCACACAGTGGGAAAGAAGTATTTGTTAATTAACCGGGGACTCAAAGCAAAAAGAGAGAGGAAAAAAAAAAAGCGTCTGGGATCCCTCCCCCAAATCATACCATGGAGGGGGGGAGCAATATAGAACACGGCATAATATAGTCTGATCTACTTGTACCCCAACATCTCCAATTCTGCAGGGTATTAATATTAAGTTTGCTAAATCCTTGGTCCAGCAAGACAAGAGTTAAACAGATCTGCCGGCTTTGTCCCTGAATGTGCACCCCCTTTCAGGAAACTCCATACAAACACAGCAATAATAATATTAATCCACATGCGTCTCCTAGCAGTACATGCAATGAAAAGGCTGCTCCGTCCATGGAATGTAACCGTGCAATGGATACAAAATAGCAATAATGAGAATGGAACAGAACATAGAACCCTGGGCTGGCTGCAGCCGTAACGTGGAGGTCAGCAGCGGGGAGCACAGCGTGCAGAACGATCCCCTCTAGCATGCAGAACACAGTGCAGCCAAGCCGGCCGGGTAATGATCTAGTGATGGAATAGCAAGGTCCCCCCTCCCCGGCCATCCTGAGTGCAGCCCCCCTAATACCGTGCAGGGTGCCCCCATTGCAGGGCAGCGAGGAGGTTTCGTGCCCCGGCCTTACCTGCCACTCATCACACAGCGCTAGGCCCGGAGCCCGCGGCGGTCTGCATTACCTCCAGCGGCCGCACGGCACGCACTGGGGAGGGAGGGCCGCCTTGCCCTGCTCCAGGAGGCGTGCGGAGCCTGCGTGGGGGAGGGGTGCCTGCTGGAGGTGGGCGCTGGGGGGCAGTGGTGAGGGGGGTCGGTTATAGCGTCAGATTGGCCGTGGATGCGATGCCAATCAGTTACCCCCTCTTTGCAATGAGAGGTCGGGACGTCAGCCAGTGCTGCCACACTCACCCTGGCTGCATGTACATGGAGCTGTGCTGCCACTCACCCTGGCTGCATGCACATGGGACTCAGCTGCCACTCACCCTGGCTGCAGGCACATGGGGCTCAGCTGCCACTCACCCTGGCTGCAGGCACATGGGGCTCTGCTGCCACTCACCCTGGCTGCAGGCACATGGGGCTCTGCTGCCACTCACCCTGGCTGCAGGCACATGGGGCTCAGCTGCCACTCACCCTGGCTGCAGGCACATGGGGCTCTGCTGCCACTCACCCTGGCTGCAGGCACATGGAGCTGTGCTGCCACTCACCCTGGCTGCATGCACATGGGGATCTGCTGCCTCTCACCCTGGCTGCATGCACATGGAGCTGTGCTGCCCCTCACCCTGGCTGCATGCACATGGGGCTCTGCTGCCTCTCACCCTGGCTGCATGCACATGGAGCTGTGCTGCCACTCACCCTGGCTGCATGCACATGGGGCTCTGCTGCACCCGGCCTGACCACATCTACCGTGTTATTAGGGGATAATATCACCTATACATCATGGTGGGCAGCACATGAAAAGTGCTGCCCTGAAGTAGGCAGAACCGTTAGGTTACACCATAATGGTTTGAGTTTTACCTGCTGCAGGGAAGTGCCAACCTGTAGGATGACAGCATTGTGTACCCAGGAAAAATGGTGACTTATGGCTGCACTAGATACATGCCTACACTCGGCAATGACTGGGCTGCCATTACATTACTCCCAGCCTGGGACATGTGTCGCCCTTCCTAATGGAGGGATTTTACTTTCCTCCCTGTGAAAGAAACATCAGCCCCCAGCATGAAGGAAGTGGTTATTGTGTGTCCAAACAGACATGGTGGGGCTGGCTGGCATCACTGGTACTTACTGCTCAGGGGCCCCCGAGGGATTTACATGGGGTGTCCAGGGCCATACAGCCATGGGGCATGTTGGGAAAGTGACAGCATGGCGCTGTGCCCACTGCCAGCACCTCTCCTTCCTATTATCCCAGCTCAGCCCGTGCTGGGGGGAGGGAGAGGGGTAAAGGGCTGCTATTATTATTATTATTATTATTAATGGGGAATGGGGGGGGGGGGGGGAGCAAGGCCCAGCTGTGGCCC